TTCTCTTCTCTTCTCTTCTCTTCTCTTCTCTTCTCTTCTCTTCTCTTCTCTTTTCTCTTTTCTCTTTTCTCTTTTCTCTTTTCTCTTTTTTTTATTTCTCTGTAGGGAAACTTCTAAAACCAAAAATCTCGAAACTCCTTTGTTGCTAAGAAATTAGAAGACACAGAAAATTCTAAGGAAGTGTTGGTCAGCTATGGATTCACCTGGAAGTAATGTGTTTTTCTCTGTAGACACTTTTATCTATTCAGGCAGATGATAATTCGATGACAAATGTCAATAATCAAATACTTCTGAAAGTAGCTTGCCACAACATCATTAAAAAGCAGGAACAATCCATTGTGCTTGATTATATGTGAGAAATTAAATCACAAAAAGATTTTTTGAAAATGTGTAAAACCTCCACTGCAATGAAATTCTGGGATCTGATTTATCATTGTCTGCATCTCAGGTTACTTTTGGATGACACCCGGCTGTCTACAGATCAATGGAAAACAACCCTGTTTTCAGCAGATGCTTCTGGTTGTGTACTGCATGATGCAGCGAAGCATGCCAATAGAAGTCAGCCTAAAGGTTGGTCAGAACAGTGCAAGCCATTTTATGAGTCATGTGCCCAAAACATGCATAGCCCTGTACCTGCACTTTTGAGGACATTAAAATGCTTCCCAGATATTCAAAATCATACCTTAGGTGAAGACTGTTCACCAAAACTATAAGGTCACTTCAACATCCTTATGTTGAAGGTGAGAAAAATGCAGATGATGGAGATGTGTCAGTGACTACACACCACGTGCATTTCCTTGGAGTCTTGAAAATACGATGCTTTGATCTCATGGCTGCCGAAGCTGAAGTTTATGACATTAATATAGTCATAAGCATTGAAGCAAGAATTGATGACAAACTGTTTGGTCACAAGTTTTATTTGAAATTGTTTATTTAACAAGGCAATGGTGATTAAAAAAAAAAAAAAAAAAAAAAAAAAAAAAAAAAGCACAGTTTTCCAGTATACTTAAAATACAAAAATGTTGTCAACTTCAGACACTGTGAACGAAATGTCTTTTCAGAGAGTAACATGTGTGATAGAAAAAGAGTGGAAGTAGCTTCCTTGTGGAAGGACAAGCTTGTGCTGGGAGATGTGGGAGCACACTGCCAGTAACCCACATTAGCAAGGAATCTTATGTTCCAGTTTCACACCAGCTTTCTCCCCATCTCTTAGAAATTAGGAGAACTCTCAGAAAGAGCAGTGAGGCAGTGGCCCAGGCTGCCCAGGGAAGTGGGACCTCCGTCCCTGGAGGTGCTCAAGAACCGTGTGGATGTGGCACTGAGGAACGTGGGCAGTGGGCATGGTGGGATGGGTTGGTGTTGGACTAGGGGGTCTTAAGAGGGCTTTTCCAGCCTAAATGGTTCTGTGATTCTATTCTGTGATTGCCATACATGGTCTTCATCAATCCCTATTGATCCTTACCTCTGTCTTACAGCTGTGGGAAAAGTGTTTTCCTTTCACCAACGGGAACAGAAATGGGAAACGTGCTACATACTGGCTTCACCGAGCACAGCCCTCAGTCACTTCAATTGTGCTTGATGCATAAGCGAAAGGAAACAAAGTGACACTGAGCTGTATTGGAAGTGATAGTGGGCACTATATGAACAAATTATATTTCCTGATGGGCGACACAGTGTAACACCAAGAACAGGGTAACAGGGTACAAGAAACAAACCCCTAAAACCACCCCAACTCCTCAACTCGACGGGAGAGCAGCGATTTTATTCCCAAATACATCTTCCCCCCTTTATTTTCACGCCGTCACCTCCCCCAGGCCGCCTCCCGGCCCGGCCCGGCCCGGCCCAGCCTGTCCTCCCGCCGGGGAGGCACCGCACCGGCCTCACGGGAGCTGTAGGCGGCCGGCGGCACCGGAGCGACCCGCAGCGCCCAGCTGCGACATGGCGGCCGCCGCGCAGGTACCGGCGGGACTGCCCGCCCGGGGGAGCGCGGGGGGCTGCGGGGGAGAGGCGGCGGCCGCGGGGAGGGGGAAGGAAGTTCGGCGGTTCCCACTTGTTGCGGCTGCGGCCCGGCTTCGGGGGGAGGAGCCGCGGAGATGGGGGATCCGTACTGCGGGCCCCCGGGGCGGGGAGAGTGTAGGGCGGCTGGGCCGGCGCCGTCGGAGAGGCCCGGTACGGGCGGGGACCGCGGCCTGGCCCGGCTGCCCGGGGTGCCGTCGCCGCACCCCCCGAGCCGTGATTCCGTTCCAGAGTAAACAGCTCCGTCTCGTCGCCCCTAAATGCCACCCCCAAGCAGGCCCTGCCGTTCCCCTGGCCGGGCACTGCTGCTCCCGGAGGAGCAGAGTCACGGGGCCAGGATAGAAACCAAACACCGGCCTGCGCGGTGCCTCACCGGGTGCGCAGTGCTGACACGCAAATATTTGCCCGGCCCTAATCCCACTCGCCCTTGTGTCGGCAAATCTCTGTCGGATGACAGGGGCGCTTTTGCCGGACGGGTCTGTCTCCAGACCAGGTGCCAGGATCGCAGCCGGCCCTCCTCCCTGTACGTTGTGCAACAGGCGGCGAGGAGAATAAGCGAGGCTTTGGCGAAAGGCGTGAGCGCCCGGTGAGTCAGTGCGCAGAAAGGCTGTGCAGCTTGCGGGCTGGTGGGCACGCTGCTGCCCCAGCTGACGGCCGAGGAACGTGGGGCCCTGCCTGTTTGTGTGCGGGCTGTCGGCTGGTTTTTGCCGGCGCAAAGGTTTGTTTGGCGTGCGGAGTTGGTCGGCCGTAGCTGCCACGCTCCCCCTCTGCCTCCCTGTGCACCGAGTTGCTTCCCAAGTGTAAACAAAGGAGAAAGAGCAGCAGGCGTTCTGCCTTCACATTCTAAATAGTGAAAGTGGCTGTTTGGTTTTATTCAGCTCTGGTGGAGGCAGACTGCAGTTAAACATCCAGGGTACAGCCTGGACTCGTTCTTGTCAGTAACATGGCATGTCTTCTGTTGGTGTTTTGCTTGTTTTCAGTTCTGATGTTATGTAGCAGGAGCGCAGCAAGAAAACACGTTGTCTTCCAACAACAGTGCATGTTGTACATTCCAGATATTGTGTGAAAGACGTTAATTTCTTCACGTCTTCCAAAGATCCTTGTGGGTGTGCTTAAATTGAGAAGACGTTCCAGATGTTCCAAACAATGTTTCCAAACATTAGCGTTTAGAAAACAGGCTGCACTGCTGTTCAAAAGTTGTATCTACGTTAGCTGTGGTGGAAAACATGCAAGCTGGTTTTCCTTTTCTTTCCTGTCCTAGTACATATATTCAGCAGTGTTTTGTGTGAACATGGTTTCACTACTTCTTCTCAAGGGCCAGTTCGTTTTGAAGCCTGATTTTCTTTTGCACAGGAGCCTCTTTTGTACAGCACCTGACAATAATGAAAGAGTGTATTATATTTGCAGTTCCTCTCTCTGCTGTCAGACCATTACATAAAAGGAACGGGAATTTGTCTTCATGCCCTGTAAGCCAGGCTCTGCTAAGACTTGGTCAGGGAGAGATTGAGACCTCAGGGGAGAGAAAACTATTGAAAATACATTTTAAGGAGTGTTTGTAAAATTACAGAAAATATCAAATTGGACTGAAGGAAAAGCAGTGCTGAAAATTATTTATAGCTTGGATTGTTATTTGTTTTGCTTTGGAAATTATGGTTACCCCTTCATGGAATGAACACTGAGCCCTCTGGTATTTTTTAGGTATTGTTTAGATTATTGAACCAGAGAGAATTGTAAGAACCCTAAGTGGTTTTACTATTGCATATTATTATTTTTGTATCTTTACACACCATGTTTATATTTGTTTGGTTTTGCCAATGCGAATATATATATATATATATATAGCAGTTTGAATCTAGTCTGTTTTCTTTTCATGTTTTTCTGTAGCAATTCCAATTTCTCCAGAGACTGATGGTTGCTTGTGTCCAACAGTGTTGGACATACTAGTAGTAATTTGAAGTTTGTTGTTCAGATGTATTCAGAAGGCTTCACATTTTGTAACACTGATAGAAGGAATGGAAAATTACATGCACGCTCTCAGCCTCACAATGCACGGAAACCCCGTGAAACCTGCACAGCGCATTTACTGTTATACGCTCTTGTTAATTTGATATTTTTGTCCATCACAGTGTTGTTCAGTTGCTGATGGAATAGTGACCTAAGCAGAGATGTTTGTTAACCTGCGCGTGTGTCCACCATGACATTTAATTTCCTACTGGGAAGGAGGATGGACACGCAAAAGGTCTCCCTACTGCTGCGAGCCAGTGTAGATTTTGAAAGTAAACAGGTTGGATCAGTCTCTCCTCGAATAACTTGACATCTCTGGGCTCGGCATCTGTCAGCCTGCCTGTTCCCAGCAGGTGTGATGGTTGCAGTATTCTACAGATTTCTCTTCCAAAGGCTTCCTAAGTCTTTGGGATTCAAAACTGCAGTTCCTCCTTCTCCCCCGGAATGATGACCACTGGGAGACTGAAGAAAATGAGTAGAGAGGAAATGCTCAGTGTTTTCCTGCTGCAGAGGAAAGAAGGCAGGAATCTTTGCTATTGGCCCAAGGGTGGCATGATTCACCCAGCAGCCAGTCAGCCTCAGTTGTCGTAGCCTAGTTTTCGCTTGATGTGCTTGCCTCCTGTTTGATCTGCATTTGCGTGTCCAAAGCCTGTAATTTTTAGCATTGCTTGTTGCTCATTCTCTGGGAACTACATAGGTGAGGAGTTGCCCTAAGGAGCTACTGCTCCTGTTGATGGGATGGAGGACAGATAGAGTGCTACATGTGGGCTGTTCTCAACATCCAGCTGCCACGCTTCCCAGAGCTATTAGTTGGAGGCAGCCTTTTTAAGTGCGTCTGAAATCTCTGCTTGGAGGCACAGCGTGGAGCAGTAGATACCGAGGTAAAAAATCCTGCTGAGCCAAGCCCCCATTTGAATGGAGGCAGTTCAGAGTTGTGATGTGATCGTTGCTGTTTTTAACACTGCTAAAGTCTGAGAGGTGCCTTAGACATAATGGTTAGGCCAGGCTTGCTCAGGATGTTAATATGGTATCCGTTTCTCAGAGACCAACTTTGGTGACTTGAAAATGAGGTTTTTGGAAGGCTCCAGGCTTATATGGTGAGCAAGTTAAGCGTCATGAATCACTAGCACTCCTCTGCAGCTGGAAGTCCTCTTCCTAATTCTACAGGTAACTTTGTGATGCTCCCCTGAATAGCATCTGAGCATGTGGTGCCTGGCTTGAAGAATGTGTGAGAGAGATCTCAGTAGTTGGGCGAGTTATGGGGAGGAAGAGTGGCTTGGAAGAATGTGACTGTAAAGGGGGAAAAATCTTTTCACTTTTGAATTGTACTTGTCTTTTCAGCTCACCAGCTGAGGTGGGAGGGATGTATTTCCCAATGAAATAGGTTTGGAGCAGCTGAGGAGAGGCCATGGTATGGGTAGGGTGGGGGTATGGCAGGGGCGTTGGAACTACATGATCCTTGAGGTCCCTTCCAACCCGGATGATTCTGTGATTCTGTGGGTATGGTTTATTTAGGGGTGCTCGTAAGCAGTGGCATAGCTTTCCTGACATGGGATGAGATGTGGCATGCCTTAGGGAGAAATGAGTTGTTGAGAGCGATACAAGAGCAATTCCTGTTATCAGAGGAGCACTCTTCTCTTTATGAACTGACTGCTTCCTCAAAAGCCAGTTTCTCCCGTCATGAAACAAGGTTGTCTTTGTGAGATAAACACAAACACATCCTTGTTTTGTAGCTGCTGAAAGCAGTCATTTGGATTCACACTGTTCAACAGTTACCAATGTGAGGCAATACACTGTAGTCTCCACATTAGGAAACTGTGTCCCTGGCCTAACACATCCGTCCTGTTTGTCCATTTGGTGTGATGTTTTAGACAGGGCTACATTAAGCCTTTGAGGCCTGATTTGGTAGGTGCAGTGTTAAAAGAAGTTGCTATAGTTACTGGCTTTCCTTACTAAGGGTTAAAGTTTACTGTCTCACGGAGTTTTTAATGCTACTGGTAAACCCAGATGTGTTGTTTGTTTGTTTGTTTTCTAAGAACCATTCTGAAATACAATGAGTAAAATAGAGAATGCAGGCCAGTTGTCCATAGCATGGTGAAGTTTGCACAGAGATCATACATATCTTAACTGACTCACTGTTGGCTGTTCTGACAGCGAACAGTATTTTAGGAATGCCATTAATTTGAGTTGTGAACTGAAAATATCTGTGGAGTGCAATGGCTTACCCACAATTGGGCTTTAATGTAAGGAACCCTGTCTACTTTTCAACGATGCATTTACAAAATATGAGTGTTTTTGTGCATTTCACCTCATCATTTTCACCTCTTTTCTGCTATACTTTGATACTCTGACTTTTTTTTCTGGATGTGCATTTCCTGCAAGATGCTTGTTACTACTGTATGTTTATATGTCCAAACACTTCAGAACAAGGTTTTCATGTTGGTGGCAGTGGGAATCCAGCATAGGTTTGCAGTGTATTCTCCAACAACCTGCTTGTAGTACTAGAAGAAGTAAAAAAAAATATATATATAGTCTAAAAACCATGTTTTTCTAACTGAAAGGTGAAGGTTCGTTGGTGTAGAAAATGAAGGGGGAAGATTCACTTAGAATTTCACTTCTCAGAATGGAACCTAATTTCAAAACTCAGAAACTTCAGCTGGCATTCAGGCTCTGCCTGCCTTTTGCTTTTAGTCATCTGATCCAATGTAGTCCAGCATGCCTTTTTAGCAGCCATGTATCTTTATGTGGTACTAAAGCACAAAGGGTTGAGCTTCCCAGCAGAGTTGCATTTATGTGTGCTTGAGAGCACAGTCATGCTGCCTGTTTTGCAGTTCACCTCAGACTCTTCTTTGCTGCAAACAGTTCTTCAGCGTAATGGACATGCAGGTGCCTGTGTGGTACCAAATGAGAAGCTAGCAGCTCAGCTACAGTGAAATCCACTGGGACTCCATATTTCTTGCAACGTCAAAATATTTTTTCCAGGCAATTACTGGAATGAAATTACTAACTTAAATCAGTGGCATTGCTGTCTTGAGAGGTAGACTTTCTTTTCCCAGTTCTTCCCTTGTCTTTGTGATATTTCTGTGCTGTGTTCTTTAACCTGTGTATCTCATAGCCATTGCGTGTAGTTTGTTTTCCTCTGTTATATTTCAGAAGCATTGGAATATAATCCCACAATCATTGTTCAGTATCTGCTTTTCTGCACGCATTACACAAGGGAATAACACAGTTAAAATTAACGTGACTCATGGGCATAGGATTTGGCTCAGTGTCAGCACTTCCCTGTTTTGTTTCATACAGTATTTCTGAGTAACAGGTATAGAATTGCAGACACCAGATAACTGAAGGTCTTGTGATCTCTGTAAGGACAATCTCTGTAAGGGAGATGTGATGAAGGGTCCTTGTTTGGAATGGCTAGATCAGAATAATTAGTTAGCATTTCCCTGAGAAGTTGGAAGTAGTAGAGTTTGGTTTCCAATGAATTTGTCTTGCAGATTTGATGTACTTTTAATCTAGATTACCCTAGGACCTTCATGTTAGCTCTGCTCTTGGTGTATGCTGAAAATACACTCAACTGAGGTAGGGATTCTCTGACGTCAGGCTGTAACCAAAGTAACAGGCAGCCTCTTAGCCAGGGAAGAGAAACTGTGCTTACTCAGTTCCTCCCAGCCTCTTGGTTGGAGTGCACATGGAGATGAGTAATATTTTGAAGACTGCTATCTGATGTCAAGGGTGAATAAAAGTGACCAGTGAATTCAAAAAAAATTCAAAAAAATGTAGCTTCTGGAGTTGTAGACATGCCCACAGTAATACTAGGAGAGATTTCATGAAATCAGAATAAAAGTAGGTCACACTAGCTATACACCACTACGCAATTTAATTATGGTCATTAAGTTTTGCTTGTGGCTTCTTCTGTGTCCCTCTCCCCTTCAGCTAAATCTTTTCCTGTGAGTGGGTTGTTTCCTTTCTGCTTCTTTCCTTAATCTCCAGGACATCCTCCTCTGCAAAGAAGATTGTTACCTCCACACGGATGCTTAAGCCCACAGGAGACGGAATAACCATCCTCAGATATCAGCAGGCACAGCCCAGGGGACCAGTGACGTGCCTTCCCTTCCCTGCCATACTCTGTGTCTGCTCCGTGGTGCAGCTCCTCTGAGTCCTTTACACTGTTCTGCAAGTTAATGCCCTTGGCCTTAGTCAGATGCTGTTATGTAAGAGGTTGTGATACATCACCTAAAAAGCTTTTGAACCTAAGCAAGTCACTTGTGCCTCACACATATATTATGCTGCTCTGACGGGGCAGATAATTACTGACATACAAAAATAGAATAGGAAATGCTTGGTCCTCTGAGATAATGACCACAGGGTTATGCCCTAAACAATTCTGGGCAAAGTGTTCTGTGATCAGAAAGGACTAGATCAGGTATTTACAGATGCTCTTCCTATTTTGAAGCCTCAGGAAACAAGTTAAGGTACATTGTCAGCTTTCCTTGCTGATGGGAGGTGAGAACTCTGCACCCTTCTGTGGAATGTGTTGTTTTCTAAGCACATCTCTGAAGGACCATGGGTAGGAGTGCACCTTTCTCCCTGTTTAACAGAGAAGAAGGCAGTTAGAAAAGTGTTGGCACATTCTCCTTGTGTAATAGCCCAGGCTGAAAAATGCCCTCACGAAGGACGAGCTAGATCCTCCTTCTTGCCCTTGCTCTTTTCCCCCGTTTCATGATGGAGAGCATTTGGTTTGGCCATACCTTTTGGTTTGCCATCACCCACATTGCAGTCTTTTCTTCTTACTTACGCTCCTTTCTGTAACAGTTGTCAGACTGGACAGATATGGCTGATATTGGAAGAGGAAATGTTGACTCACTGGATTTGTTATTCTTGCCTTTTTTCATTGCTATCTAAACTCAGCAGGTTGCCAGGAAATTGCACACTTTACATGATCTCTAAGTAGAACCAAGATAGAAATATTGTATATATGATAAGATTGGTTTTAGTGTCCTGTTTAGATTGCACATGGAAGAACATGGTATTTTGAAGGTTTCTACCTTCTGTCAGGGTTGGCTTTAAGGTTTGCTATGAGCCACTTCTACCTTGCATCAAAAAGAAAAGAATGCAGTCATTTCCAAACAGCACCATTTTATGTAGCACAGAAAGATGTTTCTTTTCTGATCCATTCAGACACCTGCTCGAGCACTGCCAGTGTAGTTAATTTGGAAGTGAAGGAAAGAGATGAGAAATGAAGTAGGATCACTTGATGTAATCACATTCATATTTCAAAAGCTTGTCAGCTTTTATTTGCAACTTAATTTCATTGTAGCTCAGTTTGAATGCTAATAAAGCCACAGAAGTTTACCTGCAATTTTTCTAAAGGTTCAGTACTCCTGATGTTGTGCTCGCTTGAAAATTTGGCAGTACCATTGCAGGTAGGATTCTGAACAACTTATGAAGGCATGATACTTGGTAAGACCCCCGTGGCTTTTTGGAATGATTGTTCCCGTGAGTGTTTGAAAAGTTGGGTAACCAGGCACGGTTATTTTACTAAAGTGCCTGAGGCTTTTAGTTGATTTTTAATTCATTTATTTTAAATAATGAAATTTCTCTACAAGTGCTAGGTATAACTTACTCATCATTGTTTTGAACAAGGGAAGTGGATGTCCTAATGCATAAGGTATCTTTATCCAGCCAGGGATGCTGCAGCAGAGCTTAAAATAAAGTGGTATCCTCTTACACATGTCGGGAACAGTGGGTTCTGAGGCAGGGATGAGGGTTGTTTCTCCTGATAGAACCAGTCCCAAGTAGTAGCTCTGATTAGTAAAAAACACATCCTGCGGTGCCAGAAGATCATGATGGATCATTTTTGGACACCTTGATCTGTGCCTGCTCTGCATCCCTGGTGTGGCAGTGGTGTTGTGTCTTCTAATTCTGCAGGCTGTAGGGAAGGTCAGGCAGAGGATTTTTGCAGGGAAAGTCCCGTGTCATCAGAACCTTCCTCAGGGTCACGAGATCAGTTGTGTGAAATGCCAGCCTGATCTGAGCTATAGGACTGTGTTGTAACTCCAACGAGAGAAAACTGCTCTCTGAGGTTTGCTCAGTAGTTTTGAAAGATGGAAACAGAAATAACTGAAAAGGAAAGTGAAATCTAGAAAGAAATAGAGAGGAGGTTCCTGAAAAACAGTTGACACTCTGAGAATGTATTCCTAAATGGGATTTAAATTCCAAAGCATCTTTGTTCTGGTCATTTGAGGTGATAAAGTCTTGCATTTTTTACAGAATTGCAGGTGTCACAGAGAAGAATAATCGTCATCAGCCCCAATGATCATCAAGAATATGAACTTTGTTATCTAGATGGAAGAAAAGATTAACAGCCCAGAAGGGGAGCCCTTTTGGTTTTCAAGATGGAGGCAGCTACTGGTGAAAGCCAACTGCAGCGAATTATCAGGGACTTGCAAGGTATACTGACATAGTGAAACATCCTCCGTGTTTTAGGTAACAGAGCAGCTGTGTTTTTGATTGCATAGTGCTTCTGTGCAGCAGTTGCAGCAGCGCAGTCATGGTTTGCTAGGTGCTCATTATAGTTGTGACTGATGTTTTGTAAGAGAGGTGCTGTACCGTTTTCAAAATCCTAAATTCTGGAGTTCTGCATATTTAAATAAACAAGCTTATAAATAAGCCTTACAATTACAAAAAAAAAAAAAAGTTTGCGGAGTGAAATTAAAATTATTCTGTTGTGTGGTGTGAGCTAGAGCATGTTTGCATGAGTAGAGCTAAGTTATAAGACTTCATGTGAGAATGAAAAGGAGGTCTGATTTTTATGCCGTCCCTTGGTGGAAAGCTGGTGTTGAGTTGCTCCTCGTATGTGAGGGCTAAAAAACAAGAAGGGCAGCCCAAGGTGGGAATGGAGATCCAGAGGGAGAGTATTGCACAGCTGGATCTGCTCCATGTAGCTAGAGCTACATGCTTTCTGTGCATTCGCCTTGTCCTCTACTAGCAGCAGCCAACCTCATTTTTCTACAGCTCTTCTATGGGCAAAATTGGCAGCAGATCCATAACCATTTTTCTGCTCTGTCTCTGTCTCAATCAGCTGCCTATACTGAGATCTGAGTATTTTTCTTTTTCCTATGTATTAAAAATAAGGTGTAACATGCACCAAAGCTTGGAATCCGGATCTTCCTGTAGCATAAAAAGGAGATCTACATGCTTGCTAACAACAATAAATTTTAATTTGCAAAGTGGATTTAATGGGATTGGGTGCCAAGGCTCAGTCAGGCATCCAAAAGGAGTACAAAGTCATGTGGACTGCACATTCAGAATCAGTAATTTCTGTTGCTGAGAAGTGAACACTTTGGGGAATAGAGCATCCAAGGACACGGCAATTTGCTTTGACTTGAGGTTTCCTCACCCTCCCATGGGAGTAGGTTTTAGGTGAAGGGAGTTGCTGCATGCTTATTTTTATGTACGTTCTTTTCCCATTTGTGTTTTGTAAGCAGCACAAGCTGAACCTTCCTGAATATTGCATGGAGAAGATAAATGTGCTGACTGAACAACTGTTCTCGTTTTACTGATCCCCTTTAGCAGATTACATGCTTTGTTGTTTCTAATCAGAATTCTGTTGGCATGTGGCAATAGCCGAACCTTAACGTGCACATGAGACAGTGAAAATGTATTTCCTTCTTCTGCTGAACAACCAGTTAGCAGTTATCTGATAGCGCTTCTTTGGTAAGTGTAAGGAAGAGGTTTTGCTCTTTTTAAGAATAAAATAGTAAGTCAGTGTGCCAGACTGACAAAACCTGAGCTCTAGTTTTTGTTATGTTTGGTATTAAATTGCAAGCACATCAGCAAGCTTTTTGCACTGTGATTAAGACGTCTGAGCTGAAACTAAATACACGTGCATGATATCCAGGCGAAAAACCTATTTACTCACTTCCCTATGAATTCACTGTTATATATTTCTTACATTAGTTAATCATTTTGGTGTCTTGTTTTAAAGATGCTGTGGCTGAATTAAGTAAAGAATTTAAAGAAGGAGGGGAACCAATCACAGATGACAGTGTCAACTTGCAAAAATTCTCCTACAAGCTTGAATATCTTCTACAGGTAAAAAGTGATATGTGTCATTTATAATCAACATCAAAGTGAGGCCTTATTTTCTGTTGTTGCCTCGTTAGTACTTAGGGTTTAACTGAAATGATCACAAGTTTCCATTTGAGTCTTTTTTCAGGACTGCCTGACATGTGCAGCTTATTGTATATATTTTGAGTGAGAGCAAATAATTGTAATCAAAAGGTAATGCTGACAGGCTGATTGAAGAATATAAAGCATTTTTCTATTGATCTGAAGGATTTGAGCTTGATTTTGAAGATGTACGCTTCTAAATTATCATGAAAAAATTGTAGTAATGACATCTTGACAACAGCAAAATAAATAGTAGTAGACAGCCAATAATGCAAATACAGTGGCATGAGTAATTTACAGCATTTTTAGCAATTTCATTGCAGAAATTCATTTTTATTGTATGCAACTGTTAATGCCAAAGGCTGATTTTTAATCTGAAATGCTGCTTTTGGGCTAAAATGTCAGTAAAAGGGGACATTGCTGGGCAAGATGAAATTAAGTTAGCACGGTCTGTGTACACATACACTGTAATCGTGCCACTGACACAAACACAGCCATGCTAATCTAGCCTTGATCTAGGCAAGGTAGTTCTAATTGGGTTGAGAGGCTTCAGCAGGTGCTGAAGAAAACCCTTGGGATTCAAATGCTCCAAGCTGTGGTCTGTACCCTCACCACATCACTGCTCTGAGTGTGGTTTCACAGCCTGTTCAGGTAGGTGCATGTGTTGTATTGCCACACTTGATTGAAGGGTTCTCAGCAACCGACTGTCATTTCCTTGCCCTTGAATACCTCCTAAAACTGCTGCTAAACTTAATTTGAACAATTTTTAATGGCCATTTGTATTTAAACTTAATCAAGAACTTTACTGTTTGTTACTGTCTGTAAAGCATGTTTAGTAGCCACTGGATTATATCAGTGCAGTACAGTGTTACTGTACTTTCTGAATACATTGTCTAAAGCTGAAAAGGAGCTCTGAACACAGATATTGGTCAGAAAGGAGTGGATTTCCACAGTAAATATATGTAAGTATATTTATGTTTAAGTTTTGTTCATTGCTTTTTGTTTTCCTTGCTTAAGTTTGACCAGAAAGAAAAAAGCACATTGCTGGGGAACAGAAAAGACTACTGGGATTATTTCTGTGACTGTCTGGCAAAAGTCAAAGGAGCTAACGATGGAATTCGCTTTGTCAAGTCTATCACGGAAGTAAGTGCGTCAGTTAATCATCACAATCCATGCTTTGTGTTTTGGTGTGTCTTTGCAGAAAGCAGAGAAATAAAATTTACTGCTTTTAACATAGGATAAAATATTTGCACTTCTTTTTTTTTTTTAAAGTTCTCAGGTAAAGTATAAAAATGCAAGGTTACATCTTTTTGGTAGAGTACCATAGTTTGTAGAATTAGATAATCTTTTATTTATTTTGAAGACCACTTACACAAATGAATAGTTCTATTTGTGTCTGGTTGTGCCATGCCTTTTCATTAAATAAGTGTCATTTTCTCTAAAAATGAATGAACAATAAGCCAAGGGTAGAGCCTGTATCTTCAGTATACTTTAAGAAAGGACTTTAGTCTAAGTGTAAGAGAGAAGAACCACCATGTTTGAACATTCTTAAGACTTTCTCAGTTGGTCAGCAGAGTTAAAGAGAAATGACTGAGAGCGGAGTTTCATCTTCTGACTCAATTTTCTTCCTTTATGTCAAAAATCATGATACAATGGCTCAGGATTGTTGGCATTATTTCTTTGAGAAAGCTCACAGGAACAAGACAAAAACTTTTATCTTTATTAGAAGTAGTAATAAAAGTGTAATTTTCTAACAGCCACATTACATCGTCAGCTCAATCATTGGCTGAAATAAATGCTGTGAGAAGCTTTCTATGCTGATTCTGTCTTTAGAATCGTTTGAGAGAGAACTTTCCTTCTGGGGAAAAGAAGTGGTGGTGCAGCCCTGTCCTGACACTCAGTTCTTTTATCTGTAAGCAGTGCTAACTTGTATTAGCAAGTTACTATTCACAACATGTTTACCAATTCTCTCAACAATTCCACCACAGCATCATCTCCAAATAATGTTATCTTGAGTCATATGAAAGAGAGCCATAGTACTGCAGCAGAGGCAGGCTTTGTATTCCCTGCATTTCTTATTTCTCACAGAGTCACAGAGTTGTAGGGATTGGAAGGGACCTCTAGAAAACCTCCTGCTAAGTCCAACCCCCTGCTAAACGATGTCACCTACAGTACATTGCACAGCAGTGTGTCCAGATGGATCTTGAATATCCCTCGAGAAAGAGACTCCACAGCCTGTCTGGGCAGCCTGTTCCAGAGCTCTGTCACTCTCATGTTAAAGAAGTTCTTCCTTGTGTTTGTATGGAAGGGGAAGTGTTCCAGTTTCTGCGTGTTGCCTCTTGTTTTATTATTGCACACCATCCAAAAAAGTCTACTCCCATCAATTTGACTGCTGCACTTTTGGTATTTATAATCAGTGATGAGATCCCATCTCAGCCTTCTCTCCAGGCATTGATTTTGCCTAAACGATCTTTGACCAGCTTCTCCTCAGCCTCCTCTTTTTCTCTGATCATGTGCATTCACTCTGGTATTTCCATGCCTAAAAAATAATTGCTGTTCAAATTGATAAACCAATGGGAATAAGAAAAGTATTCTTCCAATGGCTTCTGGTGTTGGGGTTTAGTTTTGTTTTTGTTGGGTTTTTTTAATTCTTCTTAAGAGATTCACTGAATACAGATGCTCTTGGTCTGACAAATCAGATCTTATCAATTTAAGGGCTAAGTGTTAATAAAGAATTTGTGCATTTGGGAGGTTATTGTATCCATGGGTATATGCATCTTGGTTCTATGGCTAGACTGGCTCTAAGGCTCTTCCAGCTGTGGCCATACACACCTTAAATTACTTGAGCAGTCACTTCCAGATGTGGTACACACACTCAGATTTTGCCTTATATCAGGAATTGCCCTTAGCATAGTCTGTATTCATGTACTTGGAATGTTAGAAGATTTTGTTGCTCTTGTGATGTTTTGACATTATAAAATGGACAACTGCTGATTGCAGTTATAAATCTGTCATTCAAAAAAGATTTGTCCCAATGACAGTACTGGGAGAATGTATCTATCAGTGGCACTTCTTGTTACTTCCTTCACAACTAGTGGCTTGTTGTGTCTTTTTTGAGTATGTATGTATGTATGTATGTATGTAGACTGTCTTCATCATGCCTCCCTACATGATTGCAACCAATATTCAGGTGTTTTTCTCTGTGGTTTCTCTCTTCCAGCTGCGAACATCTCTTGGGAAAGGAAGAGCATTTCTGCGTTACTCCCTCGTTCATCAAAGGCTTGCAGATACCTTACAGCAGTGTTTTATGAACACCAAGGTGACCAGGTGAACAGAAGAGTAGCTTGCTAACTGATAACTGCTCACTGTGAACGAGCAACATGACCAGGCAGCTACTGAGAGAAATTGAAACCTTTCCAAATGGTTAGCTTACAGGACTGGTAATAGGATACACAGGATAATAGACCTTCTAGCCTGGGTCACTGGCTCATACTTATCTTAGACTGGTAAATACTGAAAGTTGTTACAACTGAATGCTTGTAAAGTGGATGGTGTAGATGCATCATATGTGGGCTTTGAAGATGACATTTTTATAAGCATTGAAGATCCCTGGCTGGATCTTCTGTACTGTATAAGGGAGGATTAATTTGCTAGTGTTGCACAAAGCTTCAGGAAGCATTTGCACATATTCCTGGCTTGTCAGACAGAGGAGCAGCTTGCTCCAGCCAACAAACACCAAAGACAACTTATAGTTAATTGGAAGGGACACTTGCAAGGCTTTTAGAAAAAGCCATCTCATTGTACAGTGTATTTAACTTTGTAAGCTGTTTTCTGTCCTTTATCCTTGACATATTGTGTGTGCTTTATGTATTTAGTGTGATTATCCATTGTATAGTAAGTATTTTGTCTTGTCATTGTTTTGCCCAAGCACTAGAGCAAAAAATGTTTTGTACAGGGAGTCCTTTAATGATATTTCTGTGAGCTTCATTCAATCTGTTTGGTTTCATTTGTACCACAGGATTACTTTCAGTTTATACTTAAAGTATCATGCCAGTTTTTTTCTGGGTAAGAGTGAATAATGATGTTTTTGTTTTTGTTGTGTTTTTGGTTTTTTTTGCAAGTGAAACTGCTGCTTCTTTTTTATGTATGAATAAATACTACTTCTGTTTTTTTGTGTTTGTTTTCAAGTGACTGGTACTATGCACGAAGCCCATTTCTGAATCCCAAAATGAGTTCTGACATTGTGGGTCAACTCTATGAGCTCACTGATGTTCAGTTTGACTTGGCATCACGAGGCTATGATTTAGATGCTGCTTGGCCAGCATTTGCCAGGTAAGATAACAACACATTGTCATCTTCTGCTTTTAAATGTAGGAAAGATGTGTTGGAGCAGGTATATGCTTTCTCTGTGTAATTAGTCAATGACCAAACTGGTATTTTTTCCAGACCAGAGGAAAGTATAAAAACTTGTAGATTTAATCTAGATTCATGCCTATTAGTGGAAGTTTTCTGGGGCTGCATGCTGCCACCATCTGGTTGAGCATCCACCACACTGTAGTACAGTTTCACAAAGCTAAGTTGCACTGATTCATGTGAATATGAAAAGCCACAGCTCCAACCTCGTAATCCTTTGTAGGTGCTTTCGACATTCCTGTTTTGTTTTCCATCAGCTTCAGTGGTTTTTAGCCCAGACAACAGGCACAGTTGTGAGTGGTAGTTATAACTAGACAAGTCCTACACACAGCAGTAGAAAGATGTGTACATATGATGTCTGTAGTCTTCTCTTATATATTGTATCTCCGTGTGATCAACAGGAGGACGCTGTCCTCACTTGGATCTTCAGCATACTTATGGAAGCCCCCAAGTCGCAGTTCCAGCATGAGCAGCTTAGTGAGCAATTACTTGCAGGTAAGCAAAATACAAGTAAATGTGTGGCGAAGGAAATCTTTAAATAATGGCATTATTCCAAAGAGATTGGAGGTTTTATGATAATTATGGCTCATAATGGTAATCTACAGTACTTTAAATAAAGAGTACTTTAAATAAAAGCCAATTAAAATCAGTCCAGTAGCTGATTCAAATGCATGCCAATCTTGTAGATGAAAAAAATACATTCAGAAGGCAACATAAAGATAGGTATGTTTTCATTCATTTTATGTGAAAACATACCTTTTCTCCTATAAGTTGATGACTTGTAGTTTTATGAATCCAGCACAGAAGGTCACTGTGCATTAAGAGCCTGAATTTGCTATCACTTGAACACAGCATGTGTAATTCCTCTTGAAGCTGGCAGGTCTACATTTTTTTTTTCTGGGTTAAATTTCATTGCAAACTTACCCTACACTAACAAATGGAAATAATTTTTAAAAAATTGGGTGTTCAGATGTTAAGGTGCTACGTACTATTACAATGCCTCCTCAGTGTTCTTGTCATCACCAAAAAACAAAAGCAAAAAGTTAAGTCATCCTGATTTCTGGAATGTTTGAGTCTTTTTCTTTGAAAAATGCAGCTCTGATTCAAGTTATAAAATCTTTTTTTCACATTCTGCTTATTTAGGCTCCAGAATTTCCCTCCAGCCCTGATGCAAATAACTCACTAAATGCTGAACACTTTGAGGGCTTTGAAGAGATGCGTGTAGAACTTGACCAGGCTGAGCTAAGGCAGAAGGAACTTCAGAGAAGTATTCACCAGCTAGAATTGGAAAACCAGGAGCTCCAGGCAGCTGTCAGCCTTCAGAAAGAACAGTTGCAGCTGGAAAAAGAGAAGAGCAATAACTACAGTGAGGAGAACTCCCGGCTGACAAAGATGATCACAGAGTTACAGAAGCAGTGTGAGGTTTCACACTCCACTCAAAGCACTGTTCATGACCTGCAGAAATGCCTTCAATCGCTGGAACTGAATGCCGTGGAGCAGCAGAAGGAATATTCAACAAAGCTGGCGCAGTTGGCAACCAGTAAGGAGGATTATGCCTCAAAACTGCAGCTGTTGAATGAGGAGTTGGAGGTCTGTAGGGCTTTAGTTGCTATGAAGGAGCTTTGCATTGATGAGCTTAAAGCAAAGCTAAGTTCCACAGAACAGAAGAATCTCAACCTCCTTGCAAAAGTTGATGCTGCCTTAGAGGAAAAAGGACAGCAAGCTATGGCCCAGTGTGACTCTGCCCTACAGATACAGGCATTATTAGAGAAGCTTCAGCAGACAGAAAAGGAAAAGGCAGAGATGCAAATACTCAGTGATGAACACACATATCAGCTGAAAACTGCAAAAGAACAGCTGCAGCTGAAAGAAGAGGCGCAGAAGGAACTGGAGTGCAGATATAATCGCCTTGCTGCTGATTCCAGAGAAGAGAGTGAAAAGCTGCTGAGGAGCATGGAAACCATGGAAAAGGAAATGGATGCACTTCAGAAGGCCCTGACCCTGAAAGAAAAGGAGATGGCTGAGCTCCAGACCCAGGTAATGGGGTCGCTGGCTCAGGTGGGGTCACTGGAAAAAGATCTTGAGGAGGCAAGGAAAGAAAAAGAGAAACTCAAGGAGGAGTATGGTAAGATGGAAGAGGCACTTAAGGAGAAAGCCCAGTCACAAGCAGAAAAATTTGAACAACAGGAGGGTCATTTAAAAAAGGTGAGTGAGACTGTGTGTAGCCTTGAGGAGCAAAAGCAGAAGCTCTTGTATGAGAAAGAGGATCTCAGACAGAAAGTCAAGGAGCTAGAGGATCAGATGAAGCAGCAAAACTCTGCAGTAAATGAAATGAGTGAGGAGAGCAGGAAGCTGAAAACTGAGAATGCAGATTTGCAGCAGTCCAAGAAGAAGATGGAAGAGAAGCTGAAAAATCTGGAAGCCTCTAAAGATTCTCTGGAAGCCGAGGTGGCCAGGCTGAGGGCCTCTGAGAAACAGCTTCAGAGTGAGATAGATGATGCCCTTGTGTCAGTTGATGAAAAAGAGAAGAAGCTCCGAAGCCAGAATAAACAGCTGGATGAAGATTTGCAGAATGCCAGGAGACAAAGCCAAATTCTGGAGGAGAAATTAGAGGCTCTGCATTCAGACTATAGAGAATTAAAGGAAAGAGAAGAGACCACCAAGGAATCTTATGCCTCACTTGAAGGACAGCTGAAGAGTGCTAAACAACACAGTTTACAAGTAGAAAAAAGCTTGGACACTTTGAAGGAGAGCAAGGAGTCACTCCAGTCACAGCTTGCAGAGAAGGAAGTACAGCTACAAGGCATGGAGTGCCAATGTGAGCAGCTAAGAGAAGAAGCTGAAAGACATAGGAAGAAAGCTGAGACTCTTGAGGTAGAAAAGCTCAGTGTTGAAAATACATGCCTTCAGCAGACAAAGCTTATTGAATCCCTCACATCAGAAAAGGAATCAATGGAAGAGCACCAACTACAGCAGGCAGCTTCTCTGGAGAAAGATGCAAAAGAGCTGGCCTCCAGGCTTACAGTAAGTGAAGAGCAGCTGCAGGTCAACCGAGATGAAGTGTCTAGACTGCAAACAGAACTCCTTGACGTGCGAGTCAAGCTTCAGCAGACCACTGATGAGAGAGAGCAGTTGAAAAGTGAGCTGGCAATCAAAGAACCTGTCTTGGGGGAGCAGAAAGTGCTTGTCCAGCAGCTGAAAGAGCAAATAGAGTCCCTCAACAGAAACCACGTGCAAGAACTGGTGCAATGGAAAGAAAGAGAAGAAGTGCTGAAAAGAGAACAGGAGACAGTAGCCCTTCAAAAAACTGAGCTGGAAGATAATTTGCTGAGTCTAAAGGAAGAACTCTCCAAGGTTAAGCAGTATTTGGAAGCTGCTAGAATGGAAAATGTAGAAAACAAAGATCTCCTCCATAGGACCAACACAGATATGGCTGAACTCGGTATTCAGATTTGTGCCTTGTCCTCTGAGAAGGTGGATGCAGAAGAGCAGTTAGCCCAGGCCAAAGAGAGGCTCAAAGAATTGGAAGAACAGGCAGCAGCGCAACAGGAGAAACTGAAGCATGACATTTCTAGTCTCAGACAGGAGAACAGGAGCCTACAAGAGAAACTAGAGGAGGCTCAGATATGTGTCTCAGCTGTCCCAAGTCTGCAAGCACAACTGGAGGCAGCAAAGAAACAGGCACAGAGCTTTCAAGAGACCAGCCAAGAAGAGCTGTCTGCCATAAAATTTCAAATGAGCACAGAGATTCTAAATTATCAGACAAAATTCAAGGTAAATTAATGTGATTATTACAGCTGAAAGAGCTGTGCAGGATTTCCCCTGCTTTACCATCTGCTGCAGGAATCACAGGGCAAAATCCTAGGGTTTATGTTGGCCAGGCTCTGAGACTAGTGTGCAACCAGCCTTAGCCTGGGAATCTAAAAATATCTCAACATGGAACGGCCTGGCTTGAAAAGTACCTCAAAGATCATCTATATGGATGAGCTAGGATGGTGTGGAGATAATATAACTTTTGGTATAATGTGCAGATAATTCCCTTGTCTGTTTTTGTGTCCAGTTGCTCAAGGTGGCAGCCAGGAAGACCACGGTTTTTCTTCCATAAGATCAGAAGTTAACCTTGTATATGTGAAATGACATGCCTAGTGGTTAAGGACTTTATTGTGTTCTGCCATTCTGAGATAGAGTCTGAGATTGATCAGTTAATCTGGGCTCTATGCGTGCCACTGGTGCTATCCAGAAATCCCACCAGTTTGAGAAAATAGTGTACATTTATTTATGTTTCTTCTTCATAAACACTTCTTAAACCTCAGTATAGAATCATGGATTCATGAGTATGATTTGGGCTACCTCACTCTTTTGAGGCCCATTAAGCTAAGCTGCTTTTTTTGCTGACAGCTGTAGTAGCCCATAGCAAGTAACATCAAACCACAACTAGTCTGTGACCACAGAGGGTTCTGAGTCCATAAGCTGGGTTTCTCCTAGCTGTATTTCATGAGTATTGCTTTTATACCATACAGGGCAGTATGGTCATGATTCAGGATTGGAAATTTTTAGGTGAAGTGGGGGCAGCTAGAGGAATGCTAACTTCTGACTTGATCTCTCTGCTAGGCTGCCAATGAAGAATGTGGGAAACTAAAGGAGCAACTTGAGGAGCAGAAGAGACAACAGCATGCTACAGAGGAAGAGATTGCAGGTTTACAAGTAAGTGCTTGATCTGATTAAGCAAAGACAGAGATTTTTGTGTCAGAATGCATTAGTGTTAAAAAGGGAGAAAGAAGGCAACAGAAATGGGTGTGAGTCTAAGAATGTCCTTGAATAAATACAGGTGTAGCAGTCTAAAGTTTTCCATGGAAATGGAGATTATTAAAATCACAATGGCACTTCGGACTTTTTAAAGCTAGTCAGGTTTCATGTAGGACCTGAGCATGTGCACATTAGTTAAATGGGGGGTGTGGGATTGGAAGGTATCTGTCTTACACCCATTCCACACAGTCACACATTTGGATCCAACAGTTTGCAGGCTGCAAGGAGCACTGCATCAGAGAATTGATCTGACTGAGAAATAGCCCAGCTGGAAAAAAAAAAGCCATGGGATTTTTGTGATGTGTGTATTGGACAGTTGGGATGGGAGTGTCAAGTGTGAGCAAGGGATAGGGAAAGAAGGGAATTAAGGTTATTGAACCTGGCCGTGCCTGCTGGCAGGTATTGGTGAACCTACACAGTGACAGTGCTGTGTCAATACGTGCCTTGAGGACTCGGTTTGGCAGTTTTGTCTGCAGAGGCTAGCCATGAAATAAGTTCTGGGTTTTATTGTCCTTCATGTTCCATATAGCTTTAATGAACAGGACTCTTTTTTTCACTTCTAGGTGGTAAAAAAAAAAACTTAATAATGGCTTATTCTTTTGCCATTATCTTTGAGAGATTTTGCTTACTATGCGGACAAAAGCTGAAATGGCAGAATAGTAAGAATTGGAGGCACTGCTTAATACCATCTTACTTTTGAGTTTATCCCATACTCAGTGTGACAGAAATAAGCAATCACTAGTACACAAATAATTTATGTCTATGTATACAGTAATATCTTAACTGGTGGCTTGGTTTTAACTGTCTCTTTCAAAGCATGATTTAGGTGTGTTGGTAGCAGTCCAGTGCTTGCTGAAGTGTTGTTTTTATATGTCAGTAAATAAAAAATATTTTGCTAGGCTGAAAACACAAGCTTGTCTAGAAAGCTGGATGAAGCAAGAGAGCAGCTGTCTGAATTGCAATCTGCTCGGCTGCAGAAGGAAGAGGAGGTGACATCTCTGAGAGAACTCTTGGAAAGGTGGGAGTTCTAGTTCTTTTACACAAGCCATTAGCTGCTAGCTGAGTGAGGGACCAGTAAGTGAAGTGTAGCTGTAGTATATTATGTACCCCAGGTTTTATATAGGGGAAATGATGCATGGGTTCTGTGGGGAATATCAAATTGATGCTTCAGACAAGAAACACATAAGTTATACAGCACACACGAATGTAAGGTTTAGGTTTTAATACTTGATTAATTTAGCTAATTATGTAAATTTATTGTTTGTCTTTCTTTATCAATCTGCAAGAAATTTCATAAACCTCTTACCTTGGAGTTTAGTTATAACATTTAAAAAAATTTTCTTTTTTTTTTTTTTTAAAGAAAAAATCAGCATTTTTTGACAGCTTGTTCTTCTCTCCTTTCCTTGATGCTTCAGGCTCACAGTGAGAATTATTTAAATGGGACCACATCCTGCATGTCTTAATAGCTTTCTTTGTTTTAATCATCTAAAGCAAGCTACATTTCCAGGGACATGAGTCAGTGTGAGGTGGATTGTCTGGCAGTCCCAAACAGTTCTTGAGTCATGAATGCTGATGGGTTGACAAAATCCTATGTATTTATACATTTGTATACTGATACCATCTATTTTCATGGGAAGGCTGGTGATTCTTACCTATGATGGAAATTGTCAGTACAAAACTCAGCAAAATATTTGAATTCAACTGAACTGGCTGAGTCTGTTCAGACTAACTGGGCCCTTTGGTGTTACACTGGTGAAGCATTTTTGGTCCATTGCTAGGATTGAGTACTCAACTTAGAATGTCATCAAGCCACAACCTGCATTCTGCAAGGCTTTCTGGTGACACTTCTTACCACTGCCTGTGAGCAAACTGAGGTCTCATAACCTTATGGTTTTTAATTGTTCTGTGTTTGAAGAACATCTTGAGAAATTGTTTTGCTTTTCTTTTGTGAACAAGAAGGCTATAGAGGGGTGTTAAACACTTTTTTGAGTGCAACCTGCAATGCTGGGCACCCTGTGTCTATAGGACTTTGTCTCTTTCACTCAGCTTGCAGCTGCTAATGACTAATGTTAGTTTCAAAGGAGACTGATTTTGTTCCCAGTGTAGCAGCCATTGTAATGTCTGCTATAAGCAGGGCATCCAAGAAATTACTGATTGCTGACTGTGTTCACTGGATAACAAATCTGTGTGCACTGTCAGTGATGCAGAAAACTGGGAACATTCTGGTTAGGTATAAAAAAAAAAAATGTGTGTGCTGAGAACAATTTCATTGATACCACATTCCACGGGAAAGTCTTGAATGCACCCAAACTAATAAAAAGATTTTTAATCACCTTTATATTTGATCAGGACCCAAAAGGAAGCGGATGAAGCAAAAAAGCAGGCCCTGGATTACAGTGAGAAACTCAGCAAGGTGGCAGCAGACAAAGACAGCAATGACCAGAAGTTGTTTGCTGAGCTGGATGACCTGACAAGAACAAAACAGTTCCTTGAAGAACGTTTAATAGAACTTATCAGGTTGGCATAAAAACAAGCATCAAGCAGAAGTTAAAATCCTAGCTTAGGATTATAAGGGATACTGCCTAGGTGGTTCACTTTTGTATTCCTGATCTGAAGATGGAGGTAATAGCCAAGATCATAAGAAGATTAAATTTTACATTTCCTTAACAAAGTCAAAAATATAACGAGTGCAATCTCCTTCTTAATTTCCTGTCTGTTTGCAAAAGCATGTAATTCTCTGCATGACATGTACTTTTTCCTCCATTCCCAACAATTTCAATAGGTTTCTTGATCTATCTTCGTTCCTGGAAGTTTCTCAGAAATTACAGAAAAAGCAATTTTTGGTGATGAAGCTTCACTGGCATTCAAATTGAGGTTAGTTAACAGTAAACGAGCATGAATAATTGATATGCTTTTCATTTCTGTAACTGTCTCTCTGTAGAGATAAGGATGCTTTGTGGCAAAAATCAGATGCTCTGGAGTTCCAGCAGAAGCTTAGTGCAGAGCAGAAGTGGCAGGGTGACACAGAGGTTAACCACTGCCTGGACTGCCAGAGGGAGTTCTCGTGGATGGTGCGCCGGCACCACTGCAGGTCAGTTTGCTGAACTCTGTTCAAAACCAAAATCCACTATGAGCATTTACACTGATGGAATACTTCTTGAAATTCGTAGTTCATTTGTCAAAATCATTGATAGGAGTTGTGTCAGAGCCTGAAAGAGCACAAGTCTGTGAAGGGCTGAGGCATTACTGGAAATGTCTCTATTGGGAACATTCAGTAATGATTAGTGAACAGTGAAGTGATTTCTAATTAACAACTTTCAAATTGGTCGTTTCTAGTAAAACCTGTGAGATCTGCAAGTGTTTTTACCAGCACCCATTGGTGATCTAAATGATTTTGAAAAACAAAACTGTGACAACTTCGTAAATGTGAAGTGCGCAGAAAACAGCATGGTCTGTATTATGACCTCTGCTTTGGAGGTGACATTTGGGCTTTTCCAGAGAGTGAGACCATTATGACAAAGCCCCAAGCTGTGTCATGTGAATGTGTTCCACCTGTATGTGGTACTATTCTAACACCCTTGGCTTTGAATAATTCCTAGAATGTGCGGTCGCATCTTCTGCTACTATTGCTGCAACAACTACATGGTGACAAAACCTGGTGGGAGAAAGGAGCGTTGCTGCAAAGCCTGCTTTAATAAGCCCAGAGTGATTGTGGACAATGCAGATGACTCTGGATCTAGTGCCAACCAGGAAGGATCCCCAGGCTCACTGGAATCACCAGTGTCACCAGGTGAGAAGGCTATTAGTGTGCTTTTTGCATGCCACAAGTAGGTGGGTGTCTTAGACATTCTCTGCATGGTCACCTCGGTTCCAGGGACCTTCATATTCATGGACTGTTTTCCATATTAAATTGTTCCCATCACTGTGTTTGAATGGTACTGACAGAATTCTGTATGTATGTTAAACACGTGTCTGTCTGCCTGAGGATTACGGTTGGTTCTTGGTAGTTTCCTAATGCTTCTGCAAAGACAGAGGGATGGCCTAGTCTTACCCTTAAGGATTTAGGTTGCTTTTTGTTTTCTAAACTAGTTAATATTACTAATGTTTCTTTCATGTCCTTTTATGGCACAGTTGCAGGTGAAGCCTCTAAACCACCAGATGATGCAGCATTTGATATAATCACTGATGAGGAGCTGTGCCAAGTACAAGAATCAGACTCGTTCCACAGTGAAAGTCAGATGGATAGAGATTCTCTGGATCAAAGCGTGACAGATCTGTGAGTAAACACTGTTTTGTGCAGAGGGAGCTCTTCTGAATTTTGCTTGTTAGGTTCTTTTAGGTTCTTTTAACCATTCAGTATAGGTAGCCAACCTCTGCAAAAGGAGAAGACACGTCTGTGCTCAGTCACATGTTCACTACACAAGATAATTGTGAGCCATTTGTGCAGTCAGCATCAAATCTAGTAAATCCAGACAGCTCCACCATAGCCTTCCAGCTTTCTCCACAGCACAAAGGAGTAGTCCCAGGTCTGTGCTCTCCCAGACCAGCTATCACCATTAAAATCAGTGTGCAGGCTGCCAAAGGTTGCTGGTTGTTCACACCTGATTTATAGTAAGAGCTAAATGATTCTATCGGATTCACAGATTCACTGGTGCTTATTATAAAGAGAACAAGAAGGGAAGGGAAATAAGTACATATCTGTTCTTTTTGTGACTCTCTTCACTGAATTGAGTGTGAAATAATTGGTCTGTCTCTATAGGGTTCCTAAATACGTAAAAGATATTGCTTACAGAGAAGAAAAAGAACTGGAAATGTGCAGCTAAATCTGGCAGAGGTTCTTTTTTTTTTTTTTCCCTCCACAAGAAAATTAGAGTAAACACAGCTTTCAGAAAGTTTTTTTTACATCTGTTTCTACATAAGTTAGCAGCAAAGAGAATTTAAGACCATCTGGATATCTGAGCACTTGGTTTGAAAAGTACACTGTAGTACTATAGCCTGATGTATGTCCATGCTTATATAAAGCTATTGTTCAAATATTTTCAAACGTTCTCCAAAAATTTCATTTTGTATAATGCATCATCTTTCCAAACAGTAATTTTTGCCAATACGTGTTTCTTGAAAAAGCTACAATTGTTATATATCTGAGCAGGGGGGAAATAGAGCAATTTCACCTAATTTTATACTTCTTTTGCTTCTGAGAGGAAAAGCAGCTTGTTTTGAAAGCAAATACCTCACAGCTGAAATCAGATAGGATTACATGTAGAGCTGGCTGTAATCTCAGTGACCCTAGACAACACAGTATTTAGGATCTCAGGGATAGAGGCTTGCCCGTATTTCTGGTACCGATTGTGATAATCATTGTTGCTACTTCCTGCTGGGGATGGGGCTGAAAAGCACCCCGATAGTCCCAAGTTGCTTATTTTGAAATCTGTTTTCTGAACTTCTTGCAAACCCTGTATTTGTCTAATGATTGACAGCTGTCTTAATCAGAGTCTTGCCAAGCTTCTTCCATATCACAACAATGAAAAGATCTTGAATGATTTTGCACATTGTCTCTTGGTGTACAGAGATATCCCTTTACTTTGATAATTTCCTAGCTTGCGTTCTCTGGTTCTCTGTTGCTTTCAATCTTACATGCAGAGTTTGGCAGTTTTAAGGCAGGGAAGGGCACTTTGTGTGTGTGGGGGGGGTGGTTTTTTTCCTTCATACTAGATGTAGCATAGTTAAATCCTAAAAATTCTGAGAAATAGCTGGGATTTCCTGCATACCAATGTGTGGGTCACTCACAGCATGTAGTGGCAGATCTTCAGGTCCATTCATTCTTTTTCCTCAGCTGTCTGCATGTCACTTTCACATGCCCAGCTATGTCATGGGTCTGCCGTGGCCCCTCTGCCCACTTCTGCCCATGTGTACTCCTTCATACAAGGATTCTTGTGTACTCTGTCTCAAACTCAGAGAGCTCCATATCCTCCATGCTTCATCCCAAATCATTCTCTTCCAAGTCAGTGCACCCAAGTCAGTGCATCCATTCTTCTAACCCTTCACTGTACTAGGTGTTATTTTTTTCTTTTCTCTTTGATGGGCTGGAAGGGAAGGTAGATAACTAGTTTAGACTTCCTGGCTTGGATCTGACCTGCTTGCTAGCAGCAAGCCCAGTAAATCATTTATGCATTCCATGATAACGTCTTCACTTTTTGTCTTGGCATTAGAGGCATGCACAGAGGTGATTCCTGGACTAAGCAGCAGTGAGGAGGCTTTGCATATTTTCCACTCTCCATTTCAGGTTTCTGATTTTCAAATAATTCAGTAAGATTCTGACTTTGGTTGACTAAATTTCTTTCCTGAAGTCACTGCACTACTGACAGCAGACAGCTTATGACTTTTTGCTGCTCAGCTACGTGAAACCAGCCACTCAGGCACTTAAGCTGCAGCTATCAGAGCTCAGGTGCTTGTGAGACAGAAAATCTTCAAGAGCAAAGTTGGACCAGCTGTTTTCAGGTTTGAATTCTGAAAAGGTCCTTTTGTTTATAACTCCAAAGCCTTTCATGATGTTGGTCACAGCATTTTTAGTATCATTTGGGAGAAATGCTTTCCACATACAGGAGAGTCCTGCTGTACTAGACCATGCAGCTGGGAGACAGTGACTAACTATAGAGACCTGAGGGAAGGCATAAGAATAGGGTAAGAATGAAGTGATATTTTGTTTTCAAAATGCTCTTCCAGCCTCCAGCAGTCTGTGTCTCAAGGATTCTCTGAATTGTTCTGTTGTTGTAGGCTTTTTCCATGTTTCAGTTCTTCCTCCTTATCAGCCCCAATTCATTTCACTTTTGAAAGAAAAGGAAGTGAAACTGGATTTCAGCAGATCCACCAGAGGTCTGCGCAGTGGTGCATGCTCATAATGCTCATAATGATCCCCTGGCTGCCACCTAGCGGGAAAAAGTCATACAGGAAGAAATGCTACTGTCAGGGGGACGAGAACAGCTTGTGGGATTGCATCAAAAGCTGCTCAAGGAATGAGAGAACTTGAATGCCACAGATAACAGTGCTTTATCAGTTCAGGAAATGTGTTAGACAGTGGGTAAAGTTGAATATGCAGTTTTATTAGCAGTCATAACAGTAAATTCTTCCTAGTTCCAGCCAGTGTTATGGTGTAATGATGTAACAGTTGAATGCTTAGCCCACTAGGCTCATGTGTGACTGCAAGTACTGATGCAATTTATCCAGATGCTGCTAATGACCAGGTGGATGCACTGTTACCTGGGGTTGTTCTTTCCCTTCTCAGTATTGTTTGTAGAGCAAGATCCCTTAGAATTTAAAAAGAATTGCTAAACTGTGTATTGATTTTGAGATTAGTCTACAGGAAGTGTAACAATTGTGCCCTTGCTACATGATTACACCTTATTGTTCAAGAGCACATGTAAGTGATGTCATGTTTTATTAGGTTCCATTGACTTTTGAATGAACCAGCTGTTTGATTCTCCATATATAAGTGCCTCTGGCATTTTCTGGCAGAATTAGTTAGCCTGTCTTAGTTACCAGCCTGCTGCAATGCAGAGAAGCAAAGCATCAGTTAGAGAAGCTCTAACTCACTTGGAAACTATCAGAATTTGTTTACTGACTCTCAAACTCATTCTTTTCTTTGCTGCTTACATCTCTGCCTCAGCCCTGTAATTCATAGTTGGTGGTATTCCAGACTGTATCCAGTGCATCTGCCTTTTTTAAGGTAAGGAGTGGATGAGAGATTCTTCCTCTTGCCATGGTGTGTAGCAGGCACACAGCTCTGTCATCATGTGGCGGCTTCTTCAGTGTCTTTGCTTGAATCATCCAATATTTCTTGTATGGGAAGAAGACGTATAACAGTGATTCTATGTGAGAAAATACATTCTGTGTACCGTGTGTCAGAATAAGGAGCTGGAGAATGTATTTGTAAAATGGCTCACCGACTAAATCCAGGACAAATGTCATATCCCTGGGGAGGGTTTGTTTAAGAGATGAGGCCAGACTGTGCTGCTTGTCTCTGCCACCCAACTCTAGATTTTCACCTTTGATGAAAGCTTTTAAACCTGGCAGCATCTCAGTAGGGAGTTTATCTTAAGACTGTTGAAGGGATGTTCTGGATACATGCATTCCTCTTAGCTCATGAAGCCAGGATGGAAGCTGTTTGCATTTTGCATGTTGATTAGCAGAACAGGGCTGCAGTTCTGCCCTGGCAGTTTTGTCATGAGAATGTGCAAAATAAAAATGACGTGATTTGTCATTGTGGCTATTAAATCATTTCTGTTTAAGGAAGACCTGAGCTTCCAAATAATATTTGACCCCATACTATTCAGAAAATCATCGCTTTCTTTTTTTCTTCTCCTAGAAACAGCACGTGTAATTCTTCAACCTTTGATGAATCAGAAGAGTGGCAGGTTGCTCAAGATGCTGAGATAAGCTTGTTGAAGTCAGGAGAAATCATGTAAGCAGAACAATTTCGTTACCACCAAACTGAAAAAATAAAGGCTGAACTCAGATATCAGCTATGTGAATTGTGCAGACTTCTAGAAGCTCAGATTGATTGTGTCCCACAGCAGAATTTGGTCTGAGGAGGAGCAGAGAATGTGTCTCAACTAAGCAGAGCAGCAGCAATGAGCCAGGTCCTTTCTCTTAAAAAACTTATATGCGAGTGGGGAACAAGAAGGAAAGATTTTGGTTTGTGTCACATCATAAAGTCTTCCTTCCTGTTCTCACTGCAGGAGGTGTTGTGAACAGAGAGGGGGCTTAGAGGGAAGTCTGCATAGTTCTGATAATCTCTGAGGAAACTGTAGGCAAAGGCAGAGTGCTGTGCTACTTGGGCCTTTGTGATGGAGAGGGAATTGGTGAGCTTTTGAAGTATGTGCCTGTTATTTATTGGTAACCCCAACCTGTTGCCTCACAGGAACCATATTCCTGATTGATTCTTGATTGGCATAAAATGTTCAGCCAATGATCTCTCAACCTCTGTGAGTGGTGTGCACACAATTCTTGCGTGTACTCTGCTCAGAAATAGACTGTTACGTGCAGAAAGTGACAGAATGTCATTTTCACTGCCACAGAGGGAATCTAATGCACAAAAACACTCATGACCTGGAGTTATTCCCCTTTGCTCACCATTCTCTTGAGCCTTGCTTGGAAATGCTGGCCTTTTGTGGTGAATGTTTCAAGCTTGTTTCTATTGTTCAGAGAACCAGCAAAATAAGTGGTGGTTGAGCTGCAGAGCAAAACCAGGAGTTATCATTAGTTTGTTAAAATTAAAGATCAGTTGAAACAATGTAGTAGCTATTTCAGCTAAGGGCAAAAGTAACACTGTAAATAAAACTTAGTATAAAGCTTTATCTCTGAACAAATTACAGGAGCTATAGTAAATGAGCTGTCTAGCCACAATGACTGCAAACTGAACTCTTTACTCTAGGACAGGAAATCGTCATGGTGACTGAGTGGTATCTTATGGCAAATGAGTTGATTTTTTGCTTGGGAAACAATTTATTTGGCCTGAAGGGTGATGTTTTAGATCAGTTTTAGTTAGGATAACATAGGTGAGCTACTCAGCTCTTAGAAACTGCTGGTTTCCTCTGAAGAAGGCAAGCAGCATTCTTCTGTTAAAGGTCCCCACCGCTTGCAGTCTGAAATAGATATCAAAATGAAGTAGGCTAATAAAATGCTTCAGGAGTCAGGATCACCTAGATGCTGAGTGCTTCCTTTTTAATTGGAGGGTCCTTAAATCAGCTTTTATCCAGCTTATTTGGGTAAAACAGAGCATGCAGTAAGAGCTCCAGAGGGGCTAGACAAAGCTGTTATTACATTCCACCCTTCTGCCCTCTCTGAACTCTTGATCCCTGTTTTCTGTACAAATAATGTCTAGATGAGAACAGTACATTGACAAATTTCTGTTTACATTTCTGTGAAAGGAACAGTAGAGGGCAGCAGACTTTTTTTTAAATCACAGGAGCTCTAAAAAGCTTTATTCAATAAAGATTTTTCTAGTCAAAGTGAAATAAATAAGTGAATAATATCCATATTTGCTGAAACAGTGAAAGTGCTTTCATCTTTTCTACAGTTCTTGCTTTCTTCTGGGGCTGAATTTTCCTGTGTCTTGTTAAACCTGTTCAAAGTTGCTGTGGAGGCTGCCTCAAATAAACAGAAAATAAAAAATGGCTGTTGTTTTTGTCACAGCTATTAGACTGGATCTCTTCAAGTGACTGTATTTTTCTCTCTTACAGGGTCAAATTACCCCTTACAGTGGAGGAGATTATAAATTTTGGGGAAGGCAACAGAGAACTGTTCATCAAATCCAGCACTTACAGTATCATTCCCATCACTGTTACAGAGATTGGGCTGACAATTAGTTGGATATTTTCATCAGACCCTAAAAGCATCTCCTTCAGCGTCGTCTACCAAGAATCAGAAGACACACCACTGGATCAGTGCAAAGTAAGGCTGTTATTTCCCTGTGGGGTCTTTAGTTTCTTTACTGCCTTAGGAAGCGTAACATACTTCAATAGGCTCCCCAGAGGAATCAGCCAGCACAGCCAACTGATTTCCACAATAGTGTTAATTACTATTGCATTTAAGGAGTTCTTTATTCCAATTACGTTTTCCTGGAGGCAGAGCTTCATCTTTATTTGATATTGCCTGCAAAAGTCGAGTTGAAAAAGTCTATAGCTTCTGCTAGTCTCATCATCACTCACTATTATTAAGCAAAAATAAGTGCTCAAGCTTGCAAAATTCTTCTTTTCTTCCTCCTCAGCATAGCTTGATTTGTAGCTGCTTAGGGCTGATCTTGCCAGGCTCTTAAGCAGAGACTACAAGGAAACAGATAAATGGACTGGGTTGTTTGAATTTCTTAGAGTCAAATGTGTGTTTAAGGGTACTGATGATTTGTGCTGAATTCCAGGTTCTCATTCCTATGACCCGCTGCAATTCTCATAAGGAAACTATCAGAGGGCAGATGAAAGTCAGAAACTCTGGAATTTACACACTGATATTTGACAACACGTTTTCTAGGTAGGTCCTACCTGAGTGTAAAAAGTGAAGTAAACTTGCTTCTACAGGCTGTGCAAATGCTTAGTTGTATCCTTACTCTGCTGTTTGGAAGTAAGTGTGAGAAACTGCTCCCTGCTTGCCAAAAGATCTTCAACCTGAGTTTTGGTTTTTGTTCTTTTTTGTTTTCGTCTCCCCACCGTAGCAGACTTTAACTTGTTTGTCTTGACCTCTGAGAAGATAAATAGAATAGTCAGAAATGTTATCTTTGAAACAAGAGACTTGACAGTCTTTGTGAAAAAAATCTCTTTTTAAAACAAGTCATTTTTTTTGCCTGAGTGTAAAATGAAATAATTTTTAGCACTTTCTGTCCGGTTGATTTCAGCTAACACAGTCATCTTCTTCCTTTTGTTTCTTGACAGATTTATTTCAAAAAGAGTGTTTTATCAGTTGACTGTTGAGCGACCTGTCATCTATGATGGAAGTGATTTTCCATAGCCTTGAATATACTGTGTTATTTTTAATTAAATTTGTAAGAAATGCTATTTATGTAAGCATTGTGGTTACCACTATTTGAAGACTTTGAAACTATGCAATAGTTATAATGCACATAGAGAGCATGTATACACTAGAAAACAAAGCCTTTTTAGGAACACTAATGGTTCTGTACTGTGTACAGATTCCTCAGAAGCCATCTTGTTTGATTCAACAGGGCAAGTAATGTTCCAGCCAAATTTTTTTCAGTGGGGAAAAAAGTAAGTGTGGAAGTGACTGAAATTCTCTGCTGAAAATTAAACATTTCTTATAAAAATATCCTTCAAAAGGAAATTCAAATAAAAATGCATTACTTTTGTTGACCTCTTCACTGAGGAATAAACATACCCATTTCCATTCTGCTCTACTGCTCTCACAGTCCAAACAGCAACTATGCAATCCTTCAATCTTTGCAGATATATATTGTAATTCATCTAGAATTTTTTATCTCTTTCAAGTTTTATAAGCAGCAACTATAGAGTTTTTAACATTTTGAGCTAAGATTTGGTAAGTCTTAACTGGCTTTTATAAATGCTTTGGTCTTTAATGCCAGTTACAAAGCAATAAAACATGAAGCAACAATTTATTTCACTTTTGCTCTTTGTACTCTGTAAGTTGTTCCACTGAAATCAGCTCATTTGGTGAGTACCAGTGGCAGAATCAGGTGTATAATTTGTAGAATAAAGTACTACTCACTGTGTGACACTTGGAAGAAGAGCATTTCTGCTTCCTGCTGTAGCCTCTTGGTCAGCAGCATTCACAAGAAAGCACAATCTCTGAGGAGGCCAGCAATGTCCTTTCTCTCTGTAGACTAAGTGGAAAGCAGCCGTAAGTTTTGAATCGGTCTCCAGAAATCCATTTGAAATTGAATACATACCCAGCACTTACAGAACTCCCCATGGGGTATGTGATTCTACAGCAATAGGCTGGTAGCTAAAAGATGGATGCGAGGCAGTGTTTGACTGTAGGGAAATTTCTGGGAAAAAAAAATACTGTAGATAAAGCTAACAGTTGCTAATCATTCATTCCGTTGTTAACAATGTGTAAACACACTGATCCTGAAGAAGATTGTGAAAGAATGACTGCCTTTCATGGATCACCTGGACTTTAAGTTGCATGTTCAGGGCTTTCTAACAAGGACTTGCACTCAGGGTGGCACCAAGCTGGAATCGGGGCCTTTTCAACGAGGCTGTCTGGCTCCTGGATGGTTTACTCTTCAAACGTCGCTTCCCAGCATGTGTGATGTGCTGTGCTGGGCACAGGAGTTGGCGAGAGGTGTGCGCTGCCTTACTCCTCCTGAGTAACAGGATGCAGTAAGAGTGAGACCCTTCCCTGGCTGTGTGCATGAAAAGGAGGTGGACAAGAAACCAAAGTGGGCAATAAATGACACAATTACAGACATAAATGCTCTGCTCTGAATTATGGCATATTTCAGTGTTGAAGCTATGTTTTTATTTAATTGAGCAAGAAGAGTTTATTTATTGCTGAAGAATGGATACTGTATGCCGTTTGCTATGCAATTTCACACAGCTGTTACTGAGGTCTGCTGCAGTTTTCCTTTAAGCTTTCAGGTGTGATTTTTAAAAGCATCTTGTTGCTGTTTTACTTAGAATACTAATCTTACTAGGAGATCTTTATAAAAATGCCAAATGTAAGTTAAAGGGATGCCGTCAAATGTTTTAGGCTAAAATACGACATCTCTGCTCAGAAGTATTTATCTGTAGTCAGAATCATTTGACAGGCTTGCCTCTGGATTTCTTCTCTGCATCCTTGTTCTTAAGATTTTTTCATTCAATAGCAAATATTTTTAAGGCACCATTTATTCTTAAAGAAACTGGCTCTGTGTAGTAGGCCAAATTTTTGCAAGCAAGTTTTTCATGTAGACAGGCCTGAGGTTTGCCAAAACTTGTGTTTGGAAGGTGGGTAATAAAAACGCTGGATGATTTTCTTTTTAGCATTTGAGTCTTTCTGTTAGCTTTTCTTCAGGTTTTCCTGTCACATGAGAGACAGGAAAACCTGGCTTTTTTTGCTCTCCAAAAGAGGACTAAGAGGAGGAGGAGCAAGAACCTATAGGTTCAAGATAACAAATTATTGTTTGCTTCTCACAGAGGAGAGCATTTAAACAGAAGTCATTTCAGAAAAGCAAATATTCCATCAGGTAAAGATGCAACAAGTGGACATGAGCTCAGCTGTTGGAAGGAACTGTTCAAGTAAGGGAACCCGTTGTGTCACCTAGATGAGGGAGTCTTTTCCACCTTGGGCTGTGCGGAGAACACAGCAAAGAACGTGTTCTTGTTACAGAGCTGTTGTGTGACTGTCCCAGATCATTTATTGCTGGAGTCACGGGGCCCCGTTGTAGGACTGCCCACAAGCATAGGTTTGTGCAAGAGACTTCACTCAAGCACTTTATACCCTCTATTATACCCTTTATATTTGTAAAGAACCTGTTCATGTGAGGTATGCCTTCAATGCTGATAAATCTGTTTGCCTACAGAGGTTCAGGTGTTTTGTTGCACTGGGCCTTTGGTTAGAAGACCATCCCCTGCAATACAATTAAGAGAAATACTTAAAATCAATCACAAAACTGATTTAAGGGGATGTCACGCCTGTGACCTTTATATACAAAGAGTGCATAAAAAGTCAGCATATCTAATTGGGTGTTTTTTTCTGGGTGCTAGAATAAGGAAGGGTAATCTGTTATTTGTTAGGCAGGGATTTATGCAGAGGAAAGAATACAGTTATTTTAAGAAAATGACATAATTCCTGGATTCAGCATTACTCAATGCTGCTTTATGAGACATCACTGAGATTTGCACAGTAAGAAGTAGCACCTCTTCAAAAGCCTGAATTTGCTCTTTTTAAAAATCAAAATTGCACTATAGTTTTAATTATACTCAGACACTTATATTGTAAGTTGTTCAGAAACGTTTTCTGGTTTTAGCTGCCAAAGAATTGCAAATCCATTCACATCAAATTTCACGTTCCACGAGGGGGAAAAAAAGAGATTTATGTATCCCAGCATCTGTGCAGTTACAGAGGTGTAGACAGTCATGTACTGGAATGTTTGTTTCTTGATGCTTTTTTTTTCCTTTTATAACCTCAGGAATTAAAAAAAATAAACTTCTTTATCATCCAGCGTGTATGTCTGCTTTGTGCCAGGCAGAGATGGCTTTGTCATGAAGATAAATCACATCTACTTCTAGGCTGGAAAAACGTTGGGAAATAAGGAAAAATTAGAAGGTTAGAAAATAAGATTGAGTCCATTTATACTGAACGATTGTGTGAGTGAGAGGCATTCTTTACATATTGTCTCTGCTTCTTGCCTTGGAGGAGTTGGAGAAACATCTGTTTGCATTTGTAGACTCAGCCGCATGTAGGCTAACCTGAGCTGCTGGGGCCGTCAGAATGGGGACAGGGGGCCCCACCACCATCAGTCATCACTTCTTCTTTTCAGTTGCTGTGTCCTCATAGATTTCTTCTGGGGGCTGCAAGAAGCAGCTCAGCGGCACCTTTGGAATCAAGCCTCAGCCATGCTTAGCATGGAATACAAGGGAACTGCAAAGACCAAATACATCCGAGCTGCTGTGCAGCTCTAAAAGGGAGGCTGTAGCTGTTGAAAGTCTCTGTGTAAATCTCCAATAATCAATTCTCAGGCTTATTAAGCAATGCATCCTCCATGCTAAAGGCAAGATAATCTGAGCCCCTAATGCTGTCTTACATGGGATTTTAACCCACCTATGTCCTACTGTCAATCCCAGTTATCCCCAGTCACCTTAGCACACCCAGTACAGCACTGCTGTGTGGACCATGTGAAAGTGTATGGCTGCACGGGGCAGTGATATGCTGTCCATTAGTCCTTGAATTGTCACTTTGCAGGCCAAATACAAGGTCTCAACATTCCTATAGCCCAGGCTCAGAAAAAAAAACAGCTCTCAAGGGCATGGAATCTATGGTGTCTGAGCAGTGAAATCACAGAGTGTTGAACCTGGAAATGATGATTTTACGTGTACCAAACTCACATCAATAGTTCAGGTTTCAGGATGAATACAACCATACTACGTAGTGTGACTTCAAGCGATGTTTGCAGCAGCCATGGCGATCCTCGCTGTCCCGTAGTTGCTCTGCTCCCTGGAAGAGGCAGAGGCCGTATTCCTGTACCCCCGTCTGCGTTTGAGGTGGGAGCTGCTGTTGGTTGAACAGGTTTGTCTGCAGGAAGTGGCATTTCCTCCCAGCTCTAATGTGCTTCCTCTCTTCACACCACAGACAGGCTGCTGCGATGCTACGTGACAGCCTGACGGTCGTGGCCACCTCTGGGGCCTTTGAGACATGGAATTAATGGCAGTTCAGAGCTACTGGCAGCAGTCCCCATTATGGCACGGCTTTGCATGGTCTGAGGAATCTAGGAATGAGGCAGTGGGCTCCTGGCCTGCTTGAGGCTCTTGGAAGCCTGCAGTCATTTCACCGAGACCTCATTTTATGCACACAGATGTTTTTGTGGGTGACTGAGGCAAAACCCAGCTGGCTGACTCACAGGGCCTCAGGAGCACCTGGCTGTGCTGCTCTGCTCTCTGGTAGATGGAGTGCCTCGTCCTCAGCTTGAGGCCTCTGGACTGTAACGCCTAACAGGTGCTGAGGGGTGAAAAGGCGAGGATGGGGCCACACTCCAAAATGTGATGTGACACACAGGCAGCACAGAGGCCCCTGAGGAGCAGCACCTCCGTGCTGAGCCCCGCTGGGAGCGCGCACTGCAGGCGCTGCCTGACTCAGAGCGGGACGTGACCGGGGGACGACCCGGTGCCCCGACCTGCTGAAAGTTCAGCGCCATGTCACCAGCCTCAGCAGTTTCACTCGCCGGCCCCGCATGAGAATTTCCCACTGTGCTTTTGCTGCGTGAGGGCACAGCACTCACCTGTGTGCTGAAACACGAGCATCCATCCCTCTTTGCTGCCCGCTGCTCACAGCCACCAGGAATTCCATGGCTGAAGCTTGCACAGCTGGTTTTAAGGAGGACAGCGTTTCGGGTAAGTCCTCTTGCTTTCTTGACTTCACTACTTCACTGACACTACTTCACTATGTTGTGTGTCTGCTGTCAGTTACTGGGAATTGCAAACATAGGGAGGCTATTTGCTTCTCCTCAGACACGGGAGGAAACAGGTTGGGTGTATGGACGCAAAGATGGAGCCGGTTTGTAGGCAAAGACACCACCAGTCCATCCCCGCGGTGGATGTGTACGTGACAGTGCTTTATTGAAGGGAATTTCAGCTTCTGCTCAATTTGAGCTCCACACAAATCACAAACGCCGCCTTTACACATACAGGAAAAAAATGCGTGTCTCTTTCAGCACTTATTTCTCTAAGGCAAAAATGAAGAACAATAAAAAACCCTCAAAACATGTATGTCAAAGTAGAACCCCATCTACCCACATGTACTGTGTTAGTTAGGAAAGCAGTGCCAAGCCTTGCAGAAAACTGGTGTTTACTCAGATGCTTTAATGAGTGATAGTCACCTAATGCCAAAGCAGATTATTAAAATAGGTTATTTACAAGAAAGCCTCCTGGGCACTAAAACAAGCAGCATAAGCTTGGGGTGCTTGGGGTGGGAATTGGCACTGCTGGGAGCCTTGTGGTGCCGCAGACCTCCCGCACCCTTATGGTGCCAGTGCACCATCTGCAGTTCCCAAGAAACTGGTAGGTTTGCTGCAGCTCCCACCTAAACGCATCTTGTACCCCACCAGCCCCAAGAGGAGCATCTCAACCAAAATGTTGCTAACTATAGGTTTGAGATCTTATGACACTCTGTCTCATCAATTCTGGGTTAAACGTCTTTTGTTGTCTTTGCAAAGGTGCCGTCATTGATGGCTTGTTGAATCATCAGTTTGGGGTTTAAGTGCTTGGGGACAGAAAACTCAGAGCATCCAGTGGCCTTGAATTCTTACTGCGAGTTGTGGCTTGTCAATGCAGAGAAATACAAACTGCAGCAAATACATTGCACCTGCTCTCACCCTACACCAAAGAGCTAAAATACGGGAGAAGGATTTAATTCTGTAGTGAGTACAGAATATTAGCTTTCCTTTGACTGTCCCACAAAGCAGCATTGTGTCCATTTGTGCATGGAGCAGCCTTCACTTTCTGAAACCAGGCAATGGCCAAAAATTGAGTTATCATGGAGCCGTCCTGCAGCAAGGGCCCAGCTCCTTCTCACCACTTCCCATGGATGGAAGTGTGGTTCATCCTTACATGATGTTCATGGCTTTTCTGAGAGGCTTGCTATTTGGGCTGTGTTTTGAGCAATGGATGGGTTCTAAGAGCTGCCTCAGAGATAGCTCTTATTCCTTGTCAGCTTGGCTCACAACATGCCTGGCTCCAATTTTGCTGCACGGTGCAGAAGGTTTCACTTCTCTATGTGAGCGAGGCCTGGTCTGGCTTGGCAGGGCATGAAGGAAGCACATGTAGGGCCCTCAGTGTCCCAGCTCAGTCCTGGACACAACCAAGGAGGCCAGTCCTCCTCCAAGGCAATCTTTGGGGTGCAGGAGTGATGTCTAAAAGGACATGCTTGATAGCCCTCAGGAGACACTGGCTTACACAAAGACTTGGCATGAGGCAGGAACAACAGAGGAGGCCAAATGGGTGCTGAGGGTGAGTGAGTTCCTCACCCGCCGCCGCCCCAGCATGGCAAAGGACCAGTTGGAGCTGTGCTCCTGGCTGTCACCCAAGGAGGAGCACTGCTCCTGGCCTCTAGACCAGTAGCGGCCAGTGCTCTGCACCATTCTGACCAGTGCCATCCTGAAACGCTCCCCAGCAAAGACATAAAGGAAGGGGTTGAGGCAGCTGTGGAGAAAGGCGATGCTCTGAGTGACCTGCAGCCCAATGTCCAGCCCGTTGATGGTCTGGCAGCTGTACACTGCCCCGGTGTACATGTTGATGGTCTTGATCAGCAAAACAATGTTGTACGGGAACTGAGAGAGAAGAAAGGCAGTGATGATCATGGTGATGATCTTTAATGATTTCTGCTTTTGGCATCTTTTGGCTTGGAGGAGGGTGTGGATGATCAGGGTGTAGCAAATAACCATGACTAGAAGTGGGAGGAAGAAGCCTATAGTGACCTTCAGAGCCAGGACGGCAACTCTGAAGGCCATGCCAACGCTGGGTGGGTACGCCATTTTGCACACCGTCACAGCACCGATCTGCTTGCTCTGGCTGTACATTATCTCAGGGAGGCACAGGCTGACAGATGCCAGCCAGACAGCCAAGCACACGAGTTTGCTGCGCAGGATCCGCCTTTGCTTGGAAGATTTAGCTTTTGTTGCTTGAACAATGGTGATGTACCTGTCAAAACTGATGCATGTTAGAAACAAGATGCAGCTGTAGAAGTTGATCTTATACATGCTATTGACGACTTTGCACATGAAATTTCTGAAGATCCATCCACTGGAGGCAGCCGTGGCCCAGAATGGGAGGGTGAAAAGGAGGAGCAGATCTGCAACAGCTAAGTGCAGCAGGTAGCGGTCCATCATGCTCCTCCTGAAGCGGTATTTGCAGTAGATGAGAACGACCAAGGCATTTCCCACCGTGCCCACAAAGAAGATGAGCCAGAAAAACACGGGCAAGAAAGCTCGAGCAAACTGCCAGACCTGCCTCCTGTCACACATGAGCTCTGTGTCGTTGGCGGGGTTCCCAATGACAGACAGCCCTGCGCTGTCATTCTGGTAGTAATCCAGGCTGGTCTTGCCAGTGTGGGGAACCTGTGGTGGGACACTGGGTAAATTCACATTGAGGTGGCCCATAAGAGCACAAATTCACCAGATGTAGCTTAAGATCCCCAGCATCACCCATTTTAGTTGGGAAAAGCCATCAGCAAAACAGTGGTTTTCTGATGGCTTGTAATGCACCCACGCCCAAGAGAAGATTCAAATACATAAAAAATCCAGACTCAGAAAGATGTGGGGAAGAAAGCTTTGTAACACTGCTAGGGTGGGGCAGCACAACTGGCTCTTGGGAGTAGAAAACTGATGTTGGGGGAAGGAAAAAATGAGATTACACAGCAACATTTGTGTGTACTCACTGTGCCTGCAAGTGCCATCTTTACTCAATTTTTTCCTTGTCTTGAAGGAGATACTGCACTCTGGAGAGAAAAGATGGGAGCAAAACAATTTGAAATATCTCTAAAATAGGACTGTGACTCTCTTCTTCAATTATTTTATTTTAATGTAAACCTCAGTGGGATTCTCAGCTAGCTTTCTGAACTGAAGCTTTTTAACCCTCTTAGATGTGCCTGGCTGGTAGATGGGCAAACCAAGCAGAAACCAATGTCTCTGAGATGTTTCCATTTTGCTAAAAGATGGGCAGAAAAGATCCTTAATGCAGGAAAAAGTAAGGGTAAATTAGGGCCTCAGCTTCTCTCTGCTGCTGTGCCGATTACACCCTTTGACTTACTAGGGTCAGTGTGATTTCATTTTTAATAAGACGTACAGTCCCCAGTGCGCACATCAAAAAAGAAAGCCATCTCAATGCGCCATAACTTCATGAGACTGTTTAACGTCTCTCACGAATTGTCTAGCAACTAGCAAGGAAAAGTACCTGCCTTATAAGGGTGGCTTGCAGCACTAAAGTATTTGCATCCCCTGCACTCTGCCTGCAGCATCTCCTATCTGTTGACTGCCATGCTCTTTGCTCGGCCCCTCGCAGCAGCTTGTTATGGCCCCAGACACTAGAAAGACTTTTTTGCTACAGATTGCTTTGTACAGGAGCCGTCACAAAAGTCAAATGAGCCAGGTCACACAGCCACCACTGAGCTCAGCCTTTCCTTGGGGGAACAGCCCACATTCAGATGCTTTCTCTTGGGTTTCTCCCATGCACCAGCCAAAAGTACCGTCCCCAGTGTTAACCGGGGCAGGAGCTGATGCAGCAAGCGGGTCACCTCTGCATCTTGCACTCATGTTGGCTGCGCACTGCCCAGCATAGGATGTTTGCAGCAAACATTTGTGAGGTTCTGGAATTTAGTCTAAAATATAAAGTGGTTGTTATTGGATATTGAAAGCACAAACTGGGGACCAAGCCTTTTATTTCTGTCTCCATGCAGTAACTTCAGTGAATATGGAATGAGATTTGCAGCACAAGCTCTTTTCAATGAAAGAACAGAGTACTGAGAGGAGATTGAAGAAATAAAAATAGCCACAAGCGTGTGCTCATAGTTTCTTGAGTTTTCTACCAAGACACAGAACTACATGGAGGATTCTGTTGGCCCCTGGAGGATCAATTACAGATATCAATTTGGAACAATGTCATCCATGCCCTGATGCACAATTTTTGAAGTGCAGAGCTCAAGCTATATGCTGTTCGCCGTCTATCCAAAGCAGCCTGCCATCGAAAGTATGTGGCCAAAGCATAACAACGCAGCTGCGTGGCTCAGAATTCACACCAGCAAAAACAGGCTGGAAAGAAACGCATCTGTGTAACACATACATTTAAATATTAAGACATAGCAATAAAGACCAGCTGTAGCTTTGAACATGCAAACGATGATGGGCAGGGCCGCGTTAACTGGAGAAAAATGTTCTCATCCCTGTTGCACATGGCAAAGCCCCCATCCCCATCCCGTTCCCGTCCCCACCTGGCTCCAGCCGTGTTGCAGCACACAGGCTCACTCACATCACAGTGAATGCAGAGGCAGTTGAAAATCAAGCTGGGTTTGTACTGTCTGAGAAGCAAAGCGTTGCGAAGTCAGCTTCAAGGCAGAAGAAGCACTGTGCTAACCACAGCAGTGGCCTCTCACTGGGGTTTTGCCGCTGTGCTTGCCAGAGGTTATATTAATAGTAGCAGTCATTTGGTTTGGGGCATAATGGCCATTCAGATGCTACAGCGAGCACTTGATTTTCTCCTGCAGTGACCTCCTACTTGCTGCAGGCTTCAGAGTTCCTCAACACATCCAGATCTCCTTGCAGAATTGGGAGATTTCACCAAAACTACCCATGACCAGGCCAGACCTCAAGAAATAAGCTCTAAGAGCTCAGTGTGCATTGGTGAGTGCAGGGAGCAAGATGCCTTCTCAAGGCCTTGTTTCCAAAATGTTGCTCTGGCATCTGCTGCCAGAGCCGGTTGGTTGTAGTCACTCTGGGAGCACTGCAAAATACCTGCGTTATCTCCTACTCATCTTTGTTGCAATAGAAAAGATCCATCCTAACTTCGCGAGGTCAGTGGCTGCTTTTCCAAATTAAAGAGCCTGTTTGTAACACAGATTCCTGTCCACTGAGGAAAGCGAGTTGGCTGAAAGTAGGGCACTCACCGGTGGTCGCTGTGGGGAGGTCGGCTGCACCGCTGCACGCCCTGCTCTGCGCAGCCACGCTGAGCCCCAGGCTTTGTAGGCTGCGTTGGGTGTGTGCTCCTGGACCCAGGCCCAATCAAACCTGTGAGTGGCTGTTCTCTCTGTGGTTTGCATGGTTTAGGTGGCTCAAACACACATGGGTTTTTTGTTGTTTTTTTTTTTTTAATTTTTTATTGTTGTTTTTTTTTTGCTGTTGACTTTTTTGGTAAGCTCCTTCAATAACAAAGGGGAGATGACTCTTTTACCACTATTTCCAGCTGAGATGCATCAAGAAAAGCAGGGGCTGATGCCAGCATGGTCACATCCCAATGAACAAAACAATCACCATGAAAAAAAAATCCCCAAACAAGAACAGGGTCACCCTGGGAGCCACCAGTGTGCCCAGAGAGTGAGCGGCCCGGTCCCATTCTTCTCACTCTGAGTTGGCCCTTGGCCACGGACACTCAGTGATATAGTGCCACTTGCCAGTGGCATCTGAGTGTGTCCAGAGGATGTGTCTGAATGCATCAGGGCAGCTTGGTGTGTGCAGGAGGGTGCAGAGTCACCCTGTGAAACCAGGGAAGCATAGGGCAGGACTGCAGGTAACAGCAGGATCACTTTGCTGGTGGCACACCTTGTGTGAGGGCACATAAAAATTCTGATGAGGAAAGAAGGGATAAGTGGTAGATAAATGCATGAACCTGCACATCGTGCACATCGGCATACAAATCACATTTATGTTCCCTTCTCTTTAGGACCCCCCAGCACCGTGATCTTTGCTGAACTGCTGTACGGCTGATACTGGTTTCACTCATCCCCAGCAAAATTTCCTCAATGCCATTGAGGCCCAGCTCTAATTACTAGCCAGTAATTAAGAGAACAGCAACAACTGGGACAGACTCTGGGCTGAACTCAGCTGTCATTGGTACCATCCTTCAACACTGCCACTATCGTTGCCTTAGGGCCAAGTGTGGCCACAGGAAAGCACCAGGTGCTGCTAATGCCTTCTGCTCAGCAGCAAAACCTGCCTCAGTGTTCTTCCATCACTAGAAAGAAGAGGGCAAGGACAGGGATTTCCAACCATCCAGGAAGTGTGTTAAAATCAGGCAAAGTGCTCAGCTGGTTTGTAGCTGGGAGATGAAAACCCTCAGAGAAACAAACAGGACCAGGGAAAAAAAATTAAATCTTAAATCTCAGAGACCAGAGCATGGGCTGTTGTTAATCCTGCTGGTTATTTTTTTCCTACCATGCCCCATTTATTGTCATTGCAAACATGACATTTTTGTCCACCACAGTGGGAACTGGGCCATAATGGCTTGAACATTACACATCTTGCCACATTTCTGTCCAATCGCACACATACCCACGCTTAGTGCTGTCCACACACAATGAGCCTCAAAGCAAATCCTGTAATTTCCCTTCAGCTCATATCATTATGAAATTGAGAACCACTGCTTTCCTCGCAAACATGCTGCTTTCACTCCTGCCAAAAGAACTTGAATTGCAGAAGTTTTGTTTGTTTAACATATGTGGGAAACAAAGACCACTAGCATTCCTTATATCTTCTTTCTAACTCCAAGGTGTTCAATTTAAGACACAACTTGGTAGAGAGCTTTTAACTCCCAGTTTATCCCACGTATTAGCAACAGAGATGTGCTCGGCTTGATACGCTCATCAGTGCTGGAAAGATTTTGCAGAAATAGGCCATAGCTTGGGGTTACACCCTCTTCTGGGGCTGACCTCAGAGTTTCATTTTTCACAGCCAAAACTGTACTGTGCTCGCACTGAATCTGAACTGAAATACACACACCCCTCTGGAAAAAAAATACTGATTTTCCCCTATGCTCTGCTTGGCCTTTTTATGGGAGGCTGTGGCCAGAATTGGCTCTTGGTGCTATAGGTGTCCTCTGGCCAGCAGCTGTGCCATGTTCCAGTGGAGCTTCCCATACATCATGTGTCTGCTTCTGGCCTCTGCCATGAGCACAGAGTAATTAAAATGATCAGACTTGTTTTTGAGTTAGATGTCAATTTTTGACATGTTTATGACCTGCTTGTTTGGGGTTTCTTTGAGGGTGCATCCTGTTTTCACCACTTTCCTCACTAACCCAGTTGCAGGTGGAAGTGCAGGCTGCCTTTCTGTGACTCCGAACCCAGACAGAATGTGCTGGTGCTCCAGAAAACCAGAAACTACCCACTCTGTCCTGTGAATGCATTAAACATCCAGGCTCCCAGGGCAGCAGTCATGGTACTGAGTTAAAGAAACATCTGGACAGCACTCTAAGCCACATTGTCCGATTTTTGGGTGGTGCCATGAGGAGCCAGGAGTTGGATTCAATGATCCTTATGGGACCCTTCCAAATTAGGATATTCTGTTGCAGTTCCAGCTCAGTTCAGACCAAGAGTAAGGTAAGCTGCCACTGTGGGTGCCATGAAATAGGTGATTTTCCTTTGGTTGATGATCACTCTGGTGCTCTTTATCACTTTTCCTATCCTCAGACCAGCCAAGCTGAATGGGAATAATGTCTGGGCTGTGGCTATCAAAAGGCAGGCCTGCTATCATGCACCTACCTGCACCATCACCAAAAAGCAACCTTTACCATGTCCAAAAAGTCTCTACCTTCCTTCTATTTACATAGAAATGTAGGGACTCCTTAGCTGAGAACTGAGTTCAAAAGGCACTTGAGTCACTTTGGTTGTCATCACTTTCTCAACACTTACTCAGAACTGCACTCCTCTGCCTCTGCCTAAACTTTTAACCCCTGAGAAGCATTTCTTTGTAGTTTGGAGCGCTATAATGTCAACAAGATAGCATTCAGCTGAAAAAAACAGGCCAAGTCTCAGAGAAGTCCATGTATGAAGGCCAAGAAGAACAGCTGTTTGAAGCTAGCTGCAGAGAAATGCCAGGGGAGCAGCAACAGCTGGCTATGACTGCAAGCTGACCAATGTCAGACATATTTATAAGGGTGAAGAAGGTGCAGTCTTCTTAGTGTCCTACAAAGCATCATAAAAACATTCTCTTAGCAAGGTTACTGCTGAAACCCATAGAAGATTTGGTGGCAAAGAAAGCAGACCAGAGAAAGGCTAATTACAGGATCCCCACAGAAACACCAACCCCTGACTCACTGGCCTACCTCCCAGCAGTGCTATGAAGGGGGGCTCTCAGTCAGTGCAGTGCTGAGGTGAATATTTCCAGGAGACAAAGCATTCAGCCTGTAGGTGAGCATCCTCCAGCAAAGCAGGCACCATGACTGCCAGCACACCTTGCTATTGGATGCTGTGGGCCTCAGCACATCGGTGCCTCAATGCAGTTAGGGATCAGAATAACCAGAGTTAGATTCTTCACACTCACAGCTGTTTAAGATCTCATATCAGGAAGGAGGGCACATCAAAATACTGATTTGTGTTGATTTTGTTCTTTCCCCTTCCTTAGAGAATTACTTTCACTGGGACAAAGTACAGGTCTTTGGCTTCCTTTGGTACTACACCATTCAATTCAGCCTTCATGCAAGACTCTGGAAGGTGTAGAAGTGAGGTGAACCTGAAAGGGCTTTGTCCTAAATCTGATAGCCCTGTCACACTATGAAATATTCACTTGCTGAGGGACCTCGTGTGTCCCACAATAATGCTCAGACTGCATGATTCTGAAATTGGCAGGAGCTCACATAGTCCTCTGGGAACAGTTATCTTCTGAAATACAGTCACAAGCTTTTGAACCCCAAGCATTAAAAAAGTAAAACAAGTAAAACACCAGAAAATGTCAGTAAAGTATCTAGCATTGTGAGTGCAAGGAATGAGATGATCTTTAAATAACCCTTCCAATCCAAACCATCCTATGATTCTATCTTCATGTCAGCTGGATCTCTAGGTGCAGGTATGTGGTTGCATCAGCCCACACTTCTCCCACAGTTGGCTGCTTGTTCCCAGCTCCACTCAATCTTTTTCAGGGAGCCAGATGCTGTAACCCAGAACTCCATAAATAATCTATTACCTTCCTATTTGTAGCGTAACTTTTTATGAGAGGTCATCACCCTTTTTACCCACTGAAAAAAGCAATTGTGAACTCCCAGATAAAAGGAGTGAGCAATACTGAAAGTAAAGTTACATCTGTGGCTGCATTGGCTGTAGGGCCAGCTCATTTTGCAATTCATCACAGATTCAACTGCATCCTTCACCTGCTCATTAAGCCACAAGCCATTAAGTGTGGTTATGAGATACAAAGCTTGTGAAACTCCCTCTGTTGTAGGAGAGAGGTGGGGAGAGGAAGGAAGAGCCCCATTTACAGATGAAGTGCCATTTCCTAAATTCACACCATCCAGCAGACGCCCAGCACATAAAATGAGCATTTTGCTTGACAACATAAAAACCTTCCCAAAATGTTCTCCCCCAGCAGTATCTTCAAAGGCACCACAGTGAGCTAAAGAAGCAGGCTTTTTCTTCTTGGGTCCCCAGGAACTTGGGAGACCACAGTGTGTCTTCCCAGGTGCATCTATGTGTGGGTATCCATAAATACCCTTCACTGTGCAAAACTGAGACAGCAGATTGGAGGAAAACAGAAAAGCCAGGTAAGACTGGACCAAGCTATGAACTCTCCTTAGGATGCTGGATGTACACTTGTTGCCATTCTTTGTCAACATATGTTTTGAATACATATGTGGAGTCTTACTGAATGTTTCCATCCGGGAGTGGAATTGAATTTGGCATCCCTTGCCATCACTGTCTGCCTGGTACAGCACAGACAGTTGTGAAGCAGTTTCCACAGAAAAGTCTCTCAGAAAACAAGCACCACGCTCACCGTGCTAGAGAGAAGTTGTATCATTTCAACTGCAACCTCTTTGCTGCTGGATGGCTCTGTTCCTCCCAGGCTTTGGGCACACATTGCAGAAGTCAGTATTCTGTTCTTGCTCCATTAGCTCCTCCTCAACTGCCCAGACAGAACCTGCAGGCTTGGTGCAGAGCTGCCAAGTCC